GCCCCACCAGCCCCACCAGCCCCACGAGCCCCACGAGCCCCACCAGCCCCACCAGCCCCACCAGCCCCACGAGCCCCACGAGCCCCACCAGCCCCACGAGCCCCAGGAGCCCCAGGAGCCCCAGGAGCCCCAGGAGCCCCAGGAGCCCCACCAGCCCCACCAGCCCCACCAGCCCCAGGAGCCCCACCAGCCCCACCAGCCCCACCAGCCCCAGGAGCCCCACCAGGCCCACCAGCCCCAGGAGCCCCACCAGCCCCAGGAGCCCCACCAGCCCCACCAGCCCCAGGAGCCCCACCAGCCCCACCAGCCCCACCAGCCCCAGGAGCCCCACCAGCCCCAGGAGCCCCACCAGCCCCACCAGCCCCAGGAGCCCCAGGAGCCCCACCAGCCCCACGAGCCCCACCAGCCCCACCAGCCCCACCAGCCCCAGGAGCCCCAGGAGCCCCAGGAGCCCCAGGAGCCCCAGGAGCCCCAGGAGCCCCAGGAGCCCCACCAGCCCCACCAGCCCCACCAGCCCCACCAGCCCCTGGAGCCGGTGGCGCTTCCGTCCCGTTCAAAGAATTCTTCTGAAGTCCCCGCTTTGGAAAGGGCCGTGGCTGAGTCTTTGGAAGAGCAGCAGCGACAGCAGCAGTGGCAGCAGCGACAGCAGCAGTGGCAGCAGCAGCAACAGCAGCAGCAGCAGCAGCAGCAGCAGAAGCAGCAGTGGCAGCAACAGCAGGAGCAGGAGCAGCAGCAGCAGCAGCAGCAGCAGCAGCAGCAAGTGGCAGTGGAAAGCTGGATCGCACATGCTTTGAGCGCCTCCGCAACAGAGAGTGTGGTGGTAGCAGGCTTTGGAGGTATCAATACCATCAACAGAGATGCAGCAGCATCGGCCTCTCTGGTGCAGCAGCAGCAGCAGCAGCAGCAGCAGCAGCAGCGAATGGCAGTGGAGAGTCGGATCGCACATGCTCTGAGCGCCTCCGCAACAGAGAGCATGGTGGTGGTAGCACCACGCTTTGGTGCTGTCAACACCAGAATTGATGAAGATGTAGCAACCATGACGGGGAGTAAGGTGGCAGCAGGCTTTGGAGGTATCAATACCATCAACAACTGAGATGCAGCAGCATCGGCCTCATTGGTCCAGCAGCAGCAAGTGGCGACAACCAGCTGGGTGGCACAGGCTGAGCTGGCAGGGCTGGATCTGCCGCCCGATCTGATCCGAGAATCTGCACATGCCGCCCAGTTTGCGCAGAGGAGGAGGCAGATGCAGCTGCAGGAGCAATCTGGGGCAGGGAATCGGACTATGCGAAAGAGTTTTGAGAAATTTCTAGTGCAAGATGAAGTGGGAAAAGGGAGTCTGTGCGAGAGCTCTGAGAAATTTCAAGAGCAAGATGAAGTGGGAAATTGGGCTTTGCCTTTCCCAGAGCGGGAGGTAGGGGCATGCTTGGGTGTAATACAGGAGGAGGGGGGACTGCAGGGGGGGCTGCAGGGAATGATGCTGGAAGGGGGAGTAATGCGGGGGGAGATGATGCGGGGCGAGATGATGCAGGGGGAGATGATGCGGGGGGAGATGATGCGGGGGGAGATGATGCGGGGGGAGATGATGCGGGGGAGGATGATGCGGGGGGAGATGATGCGGGGGGAGATGATGCGGGGGGAGATGATGCGGGGGGGGATGATGCGGGGGGAGATGATGCGGGGGGAGATGATGCGGGGGGAGATGATGCGGGGGGAGATGATGCGGGGGGAGATGATGCGGGGGGAGATGATGTGGGGGGAGATGATGCGGGGGGAGATGATGCGGGGGGAGATGATGCGGGGGGAGATGATGCGGGGGGAGATGATGCGGGGGGAGATGATGCGGGGGGAGATGATGTGGGGGGAGATGATGCGGGGGGAGATGATGCGGGGGGAGATGATGCGGGGGGAGATGATGCGGGGGGAGATGATGCGGGGGGAGATGATGCGGGGGGAGATGATGCGGGGGGAGATGATGCGGGGGGAGATGATGCGGGGGGGGATGATGCGGGGGGAGATGATGCGGGGGCTTTCGTTTGAGGTGCCTCAGGAGTGCGCATTGCAGGAGGGACAAGGAAGCGCCAGCATGCAGCATGTATGTGCATACGAGCTCACTAAGCCAGGCAGCCCCTGCCTCCACTCACCGTAGAATGAATCACTCCCAGCCTCCCCAGCATCCCCTGCTGCTGCTGCTGCTGTCGGTGCTGCTGTTGCTGCTGCCTGTTCTGCTGCTGTTGTTTCTGCTGCTGGCGCTGCCTATCTGCCGACTGGTTTCTTCTCGCCCACTGGTTTCTTCTCGCCCACCGCTACTGTTGGTTGGTCAGAGGGAAAAAGAGGGCATGCATTGACATTGCGGCAGCCTATTGGAGCGTGTACGAGGTCTCTATTCTCGCCCACCACTCCTGGTGCTTGCTGCACACCCGCTGCTCCTAGTTCCTCCTGCCCACCTGCCGCTACTCCTGGTGTTTGTCATGAGAGGGAAAGAGGACACGCCTTGACAATGCAAGAGCCTTTTGCCACGTGGGCGCCCCTGATTGAATTGGAAAAGGTACCACAGTGGTCGGAAGTGAGGGGGGTGAAAGAGGAAGTCGTGAGCGTGAGACAGGCAAAGCAGGAGAGGGAGGCGTGGGAAACGGAGGAGTGGAGGCCTTACCCCATCACCATATTTGAGGTGAAGCCAAATCCGACGCCTCTTCAGACGCCGCAATCATCACCTTTTAAGGCATCGCGATTATCCCATGAGGACTGGCGGCCGCGCATTCGAGCACGGTTGGATGGGCAAGCCGTGGGGCTGGGATGCATACAGGCGAGGAGCATGAAGGAGAGGTGCCGGCGCGATCGCATCAGATGACTTTACCCTCCTCTTGCAACACCCCCTCCCACTCTCCTTCCCGTCATCCCTACCTTATTCTAATCTGGTGCTTGTATCGAATGTGATTGTATCAGGAGAGGCCTGGAGCAGCTACATCGAGCGCTACCTGCATCTCTTGCAAGAGCACAACTCGATACAGCCACAATGGTGGAGCCTGCACTCGCTCACATAAAAGTCCTGCAGGTACACTCACAGGTTCTAATTTCCAAAATGGTCTTATAATTCAGGTTGGTGACCAAAGATTGAGTTACCAGATCTGGCTGACATGTATGTATGTATCCACAATCTGTGTGCCAAACATGCGCCACTGCTATTTAAGGTTCAAACTGTCTCTTAGGGGCTTCTAGCGCAGTTTCTGATGGCTGGCTTTAAGCAGCCTTTTCTGATATAGTTTCTGTCTTCCGATGTTCATTCTATATTTGTAGGTCCAAATCGGAGCCCTGGAGAACCCCGGAGATGGAGCCGCCAAGACATTGAGATCTGCAGTGGAGGAGACAGCATGTGGTTCGGCTGCAGGCGCATGTGCGGTGACTTGTGAGTCGATTTTACCGTCACTGGAGACACCAACGCTGCTTCAAAGGGAGTTCTCTGGCCGACTTGAAAGACACCGGAGAAGACAAGATGTGCAGTGGAGAGAGGGCATGTGGGTCGGCTGCAGGCGCATGTGCGGTGACTTGTGAGTCGATTTAAACGTCATTGGAACACCAAGATGTGCAGTGGAGGAGACAACACGTGCCTCAGCTGGAGGTGGATCTCTCGTGACTCTTCTGAGTCGATTTTATCGGCACTGGAGGCACCAAACCCTGCTACAGCGGGAGCATTTGGCGAGACCAAGATGTTCAGCGGAGGAGGCAGCACGTGGCTCAGCTGCAGGTGCATCCCGGGTGACTTCTGAGTCGATTTAATCTGCACTGGAGACAGCCCAGCCTTGCAGGGGGGACACGGTAGCATGGCAAAGGGAGCCTTTTGGGTGACTCTTGAATTGACTCAAAAGTCACTGGAGAGACCAAGGAAAATCTGCGTTGCGTTCCCAACGAGGTTCGTCCTTATGGCACAGCGAAGAGGGGGGCGTTCCGCAGAGCACACGTGGCTACTGGTGGTGCAGACATGGCAGCTGTAGGTGCACACACGGCACCACAAGAATTTGAGGCGCCTTGACAGTCCGCCTTTGTTGTGTACATGGCACCATACGGTTCCATACGCGGCACCACAAGTTTTGAGGCGCCTCGAAATTCCGCCTTTTCTTTTTGGTACACTGTACCACAAGGTTCCGTACTCGATTACTTAGCATTTTGCATGGCCTTGTGGTCCCATGTTGATGGATTGTAATCCCTATTGTAATTTATGTTGATGATGGCCTTTAGTGTACCAGTACTGGTAGTTGTCGAGTGTATTCGGTGTGCGGTGTTCTCTACTACACTCTTCAAATTGCGGTCTGCTGAATACCAGTGCGTATGCATGGCACCTCCAATGATACGTCACTTGGATCTTGGATCCCAGGGCCTAAGACACGTTATGCCAGACCTTGGGATCCTCCCTCGATGGGCATCCCAGGCTTTGCAGCCTGCAGAGTCAGCTTGTAACAAGTGTGTACCAGTGCAAATACAGCGTGGTACAGGTACTCCACTGATGCATCACGTGTGAGGGTGCTGGACAGTATATGCTGTGTGTGTCTGCTCTGCTTGTGCTATGCTTCCCTCGGTAACAAAACTAATGGTTTGCTACACGGCCTGTTTCGCGGTGCCCGCTGCCCGCACCACACACCAACCAGCCACCTAAGCGATGGGAATACTGAAGGCCAGTTGTAAAGAATGAATAGAATGGATTAGGGTGCATGGCTGCAGCCAGCAGAGTCAAATGCAACAGGTGTACTGTGTATCTCTAAAGCTAAGACTGCACCCTAACTTTACAACCCCATGCATGAACAAGCACGGGGGGAGGAGGGGGGAGGAAGAAGGGAGCTTTTATTACAAGGAACAGCTTGGTTCCCTGGGAAGAGGGGCAAAACCGAAGGACCTTTTAGGCGGCTAAGCTATCGGCAGGCAGGGAGGGAGCAGCGGAGGGAGGGACTAGCCATTGCTATGCGTTCGTTGGGAGTGACAAGGAGGAAGAAGGGGCAGAGCGAGAGGGATCAGACGCTGCTGTTCTGACTGTCACTGGTGGCAACAGCAGCTGAAGCTGCAGCAGCAGCAGTCACACCACCACCACCACCACCACCACCACCACCGGCACCAGCACCAGCACCAGCAGAAGAAGCGGTAGGATGCTGCTTATGGGTGGAATCAAAAGCAGCAGAGCTGGTGGCGGGAGAGAGAACAGAGCTGCTCCAGAAGGGAGGCGTCAGGGGCCGCTGATACACCATCCCCTTCCCTGCAGCTACCATGCCCCCTGCACCAGCACCACTAGCACCACCAGCCGCAGCAGCAGCAGCTGCAGCCGCAGAACCAGCAGCAGCCACAGCAGCAGCGTTTGAGCTAGACGATCCCACGGACAGCGACGAGGGGACAAAGGGCGCGACCGACACAGTGTGGCTGTCTACAGACATTCTACCCGGGCTAGGCGCCTCCCATTTGCTGCTGTTCGACCAGGTTAAAGCCCAGGACTGGTCGGACTGGGCGCTGGGGCTGCTAGCAGAGAAGCCGGAGAAGCCTTCAAAGTCAGAGGTGGAGAGCGGGAAGGGCGATGGGGCGGACGTGGAGGCGGTCGGGGTTGCTGCTGCCGAGTGGTTTGGGTGTTGGGAGCCTGCTGTTGCTGCTAATGAGGAACTCACTGACGAGCCCATGCCTGCCCCTCTTGCTCCTCCTCCTCCTGCTGCTCCTCCTGCTCCTGCTGTTGATCCTGCTCCTCCTGCTTGCCTTCTTCTTCCGCTGCTTTCCCCGTCACCATCACCCCTTCCAACCCCACCATCACCATCAGCACCACTCCTACCACTACCACCACCAGTACCACCACCAGCACCCCCACCACCACCAGCCGCACCACCAGTACCACCACCAGCAGCAGCAGCAGCAGCAGTAGCGCCACCAGCGGCAGAGGTGCGAGCTAGAAAGGCCTGTTCGCGCATGAGGTGGGCATGGATGTGGCGGTCCTCTGAGAGGCGCAGCAGCGCCTCCTCCGCCAGCAGCGTGGCATGCCGGTTGCGCTCCCCCAGCGCTGCTAATGCTAGAAGTGATTGCAGTCCCCCCAACGCCATCACCTGGTGCGGTGGGGGGGGAAAGGGGAAAGGAAGGAGAAGGGAGATTCTTGCACGACAGCAGCAACTGCAGCCCCCCAAAGACCATCTCCTTTTACCACACCCCCTTCCTCTCCCGTCTGCCCCAGCGCCCCTTGCTCTCACCTGTCGCTTGTTCTCGCAGTGAATCGCCAGGTACAAGAAGGCTCTCGCTGCCAGCCGCTGAACCTCATGGTGCTGCGATTGAGCCATGGCAATAATCGACCACAGCCCCTCCTCCCTTATCACCCCGTTCAGAACCCTCCCACCTTTTCCTTGCTCTCACCTGTCGCTTGTTCTCGCAGTGAATCGCCAGGTACCAGAAGGCTCTCGCTGCCAGCCGCTGCACCTCGTGGTGCTGCGATTGAGCCATGGCAATAATCGACCACAGCCCCTCCTCCCGGATCACGCCGTTCAAAATCACCCCGTCGCCCAGCAGGCTCTGCAGCGCACTCGCTGCCACCTCCTGTATTTGCACCTCGGCGGCGCACGACGCGTTGCACAAGAGACGAAGCCCGCCCTCCACGGCGATTTGTAGTCGCAGCTCCGGGTTGCGGCAGAGGGCGGCAAGCGCGGCAATGGCAGCTTCCAGGATGTTTCCGGCCTCCATGGCGCAGATCTCGAGAACCTCCTTGAGGCCTCCTCTTTGAAGCATCTGATTGGCAGGAGGGGAGAGAAAAGGAATGGAAAGGAGAGAATGCGTTTTGCGGCGCCTAAAAAGGGAGAAAAGGGCGGAAGGGAGAGAAGGAGTGCACTCTACCCTCCATGGCGCAGATCTCGAGGACCTCCTTGAGGCCTCCTCTTTGAAGCATCTGATCATATAACAGGGAAATTAAAGGAGAGAGGGAGAAGGGAGAAAAGGAGAAGAGAGGGAGGGGGGCGAGGGCAGGTGAAATGGGGTTAGATTCCACCCATCTCTCTCATCCCAGCTTGATTTAATTTTGTCAAAAGTCACCCATTTTACATCCTCTTCCCTCTCCACGACCACCCGGCCCCCCACACATACACCCACCATCCCTTCCCCTCCACATCCTTCCTCTTTCCCCAGCAGTATCGCTTCCCATACACGCCCACAAACACACACACACACCTACACTCTCCTCTCTCTCCACCCCCAGTGCCACTCCCACCTCCCCTCCTCCCACCCCCGCCAGCTCACCTCCTCTTGGCTGCTCGTCTCCACGCACACAGCAGCCAGCGCTCTGAGTGCCATTTCCCTCAACTCCACCTTGAAGTGCTCCCCCGCCCGCACCAGCGGCAGCAGGCGTGGCAGCACGTCACCCCTCTCTTACCACACAGACGCACACACACACACACACACACACACACACACACACACACACACACACACACACACACACACGTCCAGCAACTCACCTCCTCCTGGCTGCTGGTCTCCACGCACACAGCAGCCAGTGCTCTGAGCGCCATTTCCCTCAACTCCACCGTGAAGTGCTCCCCTGCTCGCACCAGCGGCAGCAGGCGCTGCAGCACGTCCCGGCCGAGAGCTGGCAGGCGGTGGCGCCTCAACCCACACAGCCGCCACAACGCCTCACATGCCAACGCCTGGGTCTCCACTGCCTGCTTGGGCAGCACAGAGGGAAAGGGAAAAGGGGGAGAGGGGCCGGATGGGGGCATATGAAGGGACATGCCACATGGTCGGGACAAGGGAAGAGAGTGTAAGTTTTCCTAAACTGTACGGCTGGTGTGAGTGGATGGGAAGTGCTCGCCTCCCCCGCTCGCACCAGCGGCAGCACGTCCCGGCCAAGGGCTGGCAGGCAGGCGGTGGCGCTTCAACCCACACAGCCGCCACAATGCCTCACATGCCAACGCCTGGGTTTCCACTGCCTGCTTGGGGCGGCGCAAGGAGGCAGGAGAAAAACAGAGGAGAAAGTGGGGTTGTACGGTGAAAGTGGAGCAAGGGAAGGGAAGGAGAGCAAGGTGAGGGGAGACGACGTGAGGCTATGTGATATGAGGTGCGGTCCGGTCCGGAGCGGTGCAGAAATCACACGGCCGTACCTGCAGCGAGTTGTCGCTCATGACGAGGAGGTCGACCAATGAGAGGACGCCAGCTGTACTGAACTCTTCCACCACCTCTGGCAGCACGGAGAGCTTTGCAATGGCGTCTACTGCCGCCTTGGTGCCCTGCAACGGGGGACAGCGGGGGGAAAGGAAGGGGAGGGAGGGAAAGCGGGGGTGCAGGCGAGGAAATGGCTGTGGAGTTGAGCCCATACTCCTCCACCACCTCCGGCAGCACGGAGAGCTTTGCAATGGCGTCTACTGCCGCCTTGGTGCCCTGATGGGTGGGGTGAAAGGGAATAGGAGGTGGGACCACCAGCAGTGAGAGCTTGGCAATAGCATGGCATCGCATATCCCGAATTTAGTACACTCACCCGACCGTATCCTGTCACCGCACAGCATATTCAGTGGGTTCACTCACTCACTCACTCACTTACCCGGTCATATCCGCCCACGATCGCTGCCTCGATGGGCTCCAGAAAGCCCGCAGAATAGACGAATTGCCGGTTGGCGTCTGGCTTGCAAAGGGCGGCAACCGCCCGCATGGCTGCCGCCCGCTGGTCGGTGCGCTTGGAGAGAGCGAGAGGCATGAGAGGCAGCATATACTTGGCACTCGAGATTTGAAGCATGTCTGATGTGGGGAGAGGTGGGGAACGACAGGAAAAATGAGGGAGGAAGGCGAAAGAAAGAAGGTGAGGATGTAAATCTGTGAGATGAGTGGGAGGGGTGAGGGGTGGGGAAGGGGTTGGGTGATGGTTAGGGAACATTCCAGCTAAGGTCATGAGAGATTCACGAAGATGGGGAAATTTGAGTCGTTTCAAATCGTAAGGACATGAGACGTTGACAAAGACAAAGGGGCTACACACACGGACGCAGCAGCGTACATGCCTCTCTGTACCTGGCTGTGGCGAGGCTGGAGCAGCAGCATACCGTGTGTTTTTTTAGAATTCTCAAAAAACACACGCTGCAACATATTTCCCTCCCACGGAGGCTGGAGCAGTAGCATACCTGCTTCTCTGTACATGGCTGTGTTTTCCAGCCACTCGAGCCCAAACTCCTGCCCTTCCCTGTCCTTCTCGCCCCCCGCCACTTGCGCGATGGCGCGATACACCGACCGGTCTGGCAGTGCCAGCTCCACGAGAGGATTCAGCGCTCCCATCAGGATAGTCTTGTAGCTGGTGGGGGGGGAGGGGGGGTGGGGAAAGAGGGGGTGGGGGAGGGGAGGTGGTGTGGGTAGTTTTACAATGCCTCGCAACTTCCCGCCTCCTGCCACCGGGCTATGGTGCGAAACACCGACCGGTCTGGCAGTGCCAGCTCGACTAGAGGGTTCAGCGCTCCCATCAGGATTGTCGTGTAGCTGGTGGGGCGGGGATAGTGTTGGCCGCTTCACGACCGTCATAACACAACACTTCTCCCCCACCACCATGCCACCATGCAAATTGACCAATACCCACCCCCCTCAGGTGCTCCCTCCCCTCCCCACCGTGACCCCCATTCAAAAAAGCGTACCCGCGTCGGGATTTCAATTTGGAGTCGAGGTGGGAGCGGTGGGTGGAGACGCGATTGAGAGTGGAGAGCGACTGCACCACAATGTGGGCGTCCACTGTTGACTGGCGGAACAGCAGCAACAGGAACGGTGCACACCCCCCAACCCAGCCCAACCCAGCCCGTCCCCACCCTTCCCTAACCCAGTGAACCCACAGCGTACCCGCGTCGGGACTTGAGTTTGGTGTCGAGGTGGGAGCGGTGGGTGGAGACGCGGTTGAGAGTGGAGAGCGACTGCACCACAATGTGGGCGTCCACTGTTGACTGGAGGAACAGGGATGGCAGCCGCATGGCCCGTGATGCCGTGCGCACATATCTGTGGTTTGGGTTTAGGGTTTAGGGTTTCGGGTTGGGGGAGGAGGAATTACGCGCACTTCCTCGCACAGCCCTGATCCCATGACAACTGGAGATGAGCAGCATTGTTTGGATTACCTTCGCTTCTTACTTTTAAGCACCCCCCACCTGCAAATAGCCTCCTCTGTTCCTCCCACTCACCTGTGGATGACTCGCACTTCTTTGCGCAGCTGGCGCGGGTGCGGCGCGGTGAAGAGCTGCTTGGGCGTGCGGCCAAACTCCCTCATCTGCACTGTCAGCGCCTGCTGCACTGTGTCGTCCTCCACTGATGCCAGCACCTGGTGGTGGGTGAGCAAGGGATGAGCAAGGGGCGAACACGAACATGTTCGTGTTCGCCCCTAGACGAACACATCCGTTTGCCGAACCGAACACTGTTCGGTTCGGCGAACACTTTAAGCAAAAACACGTGTTCGCCATTCGCCTGTGAAGGCGTGTTCGGGCGAACCTCGAACACGTTCGTGTTCGTCACGGGGCAAATTGCAGCAGCGGCCCGAACACGAACGTGTTCGGGCGAACATCGAACACTGTTCGGCGAACAATTTAAGCAAAAAAAACAAACCTGTTCGGTTCGCCTCGAACGTGTTCGAGGCGAACCGAACAGGTGTTCGCCCTTGTGCTCATGTCTAAGCGGAGGGCATAAAGGAGGGGGGGAAAGTACAGGAGAAAGAGAGGAAGTGGCGGAGGAGGAAAGAAACAATGCAGTGGAGGAGGAGGAGGGAGAGGAGGATGGGAGGAGCATGGAAGGAGGTGGGGAGGAGGTAAGGGGAGGTGGAGGATGAGGGTAAAAATGAGTTTTGAGATGTCGCAAAACTGGGTGGTGTAGGATGAGGGGAAATATGAGCAACATGCAACAGAATGCAGTTCTACACTATGTCCCTGATTCATTTCATATGATAAAACGAGAAGCTTATATGGAGTACGCACCTGAGCCCCTATGTCATCGTAGGTGAGCGGGTGGAAAACATTGTCTGCCTCTACTGCCGCCTCGCCCCTCTGCTTGCACCCAAACACCAGGTTGATCCAATGATGTAGGCGCTTTGACACGTAGCTGACGTGGGGAGAAGAGGGGAAGAGGAGAAAACAGGTAGCGATAAGGGTGAAAGAAAGGAAAGAGAGAAAGAAAGAGCAAACAAAACAAAGAGAAAGAAAGGGGTGGAAAAAAGGGGGAGGAGGGAGGAGAAAGGGGGGAAGGGGGGAGGGTGTGGTTGCAAACAGAAACAGAAACTCACGGGCATTCTAGCGCTTGGCGCATTTTGGCGGCAAAGTCGTGGGCGTCGGTGGCCCAGGGGGGCAGCACCACATCCCCCACCGGCACTCCGTCCTGCTTGACGCCTAAATCTAATCCTTGGGAGTTGAGCAGGAAGGACGTGGAGAGCGAGTAGAACTCCTGTGGCATGGGGAGGCAACGAGAGGGGGGGCAGGGGGAAAGACATGCGCATCGGTGGCCCATGGCGGAAGCACCACGTCACCTACTGGCACTCCGTCCTGCTTGACGCCTAAGTCCAGCCCTTGTGAGTTGAGCAGGAAGGACGTGGAGAGCGAATAGAACTCCTGTGGCATGGGGAGGCGAGGGCGGGGGGACAGAGGGCGGGGAGGGGGGGTGAGAGGGTTTTCAAGTGAGCTCAACATCACTTCTGTCCGCTGTGAGTTGAGCAGGAAGGGGCATGAAGAGGGGAAACCCTTGCAAGAAGCAGAAAGCAGATGAAGCAGACCAGGGAGGAGTAAAAATCTTGTGGCATGTGTGCTTGTGCCGGCACCATGGTGCAGCATAATGAGTGCAAGAAAAAGTGAGAGTGCTTACTGGAATAAGCTCCTTGAGGTCGGATGGGTTGTTGTATGCCCCCTCCCACATCTGATCACACACACATGCCATGCACACATGCCATGCACACATGCCATGCACGCATGCCATTGACACATGCCACACACGCATGCCATGCACGCATGCACGCACAGATGAACACACACACACATCCACACATTTTTCCACACAATCAGAAACACAAAGGTAAAGGCTTCTTGAGGTCATGTGGGTTGCGTGCCGTGCACACACATCACTGCCTCTTCACCTCCTCCCCGTTTTCCCCCCTCTCCCCCCTTCCTCCTCCCCGTTTTCCCCCCTCTCCCCCCTTCCTCCTCCCCGTTTTCCCCCCTCTCCCCCCTTCCTCCTCCCCGTTTTCCCCCCTCTCCCCCCTTCCTCCTCCCCGTTTTCCCCCCTCTCCCCCCTTCCTCCTCCCCGTTTTCCCCCCTCTCCCCCCTTCCTCCTCCCCGTTTTCCCCTCTTCCCCCCCTTTCCCCCCTCCCATCCCCTCCTTCCTCCTCCCTCCTCCCCCCACCAACCCCCCCCTTGCACCTCAGGGATGGAAGAGAGCAGGCGGTCGGGCATGTCGAATCGGCCGTTCTGCAGGCGAAGCATGAGCTGGGGGGCATCGCGCACGCGCACATACACCACGTAGCCGGGCGTCGAGTAGTGGCACCCGTACAGGAACGCCGGGGACGGCGTGCCCGGCACGTGCGGCGGCACCTCGCCTTCCGGGAAGTTTCCCGCCCAGTCCTCGTAAAGCTCTGCTAGATCATCGTAGCGCTGGCGGAACTTCTCCAGGCGGTCGGGGTTGAGCGCTCCCACAGGCTGACAGTGGGGTAGAGAGGGGAGTGCAAAGCAAAAAGAACGAAACGGGGTTAAAAAAGGTGAAAGAGAGTTCGAAGCAGTGGAAGTGGGTTCAAATAGCTCTGCTAGATTGTTGTAGCGCTGCCGAAACTTCTCCAGGCGGTCGGGGTTGAGGGCTCCCACAGGCTGACAGTGAGTGAGGAAGAAAGGGGTGCGCAAAGGGGTGTAAGGGGATTCTAATGGGTGAAAACGGGTTCAAATAGCTCTGCTAGATCGTTGTAGCGCTGCAGAAACTTCTCCAGGCGGTCGGGATTGAGGGCTCCCACGGGCTGCATGTGGGGTGGAGTGGGATGGGTGCAAAGGGGTGAAAGGGGATGTGGAATGGTAGAAGGCAGTACAAAGGGCTCGGCCAGTTCGTTGTAGCGTTGCCAAAAAATCCAGCCACTCGGGGGATTGAGCGCTCCCATAGGGTGAAACGGGATGTGCAATGGGGTGAAAGGGGGTTCAAAGTGGTGGACGGGGGTTCAGCAGGATGAATCGGCTCTCACCTGCCACAACTCTCACCTTGCGCAAGTCTCGAAAGGTGGCTGGGGAGGTAAGGTCCAGCTCCCTGGAGCAATAGGGCATGGGGCAGAAAGAGGGGGCGAGGGGTGGGAGAGGATGAGAGATGCAGGGGAGGGGAGAGATTTGTGGGAGGGGAGAGATTTGTGGGAGGGGAGAAACGTGTGAGAGGGGCGACATGTGTGAGATGGAGGGACAGGATGCGCAGAAAAGCGAGTGACAAAAACACAGGAAATTTGATCGGGAGGAGAGAATGTTAAATGAGAGAGACCCATGGAAGAGCAGGAGACAGAGGAGAAGAGAAGGGGGATGGGGAGGTGGAGGGGGATGGGGAGGGGGGTGGGGAAGGGGTGGAGGGGGAAGGGGTAGAGGGAGGGGAAGGTGGAGAGGCTGTCACTCGCAGGGGAAAAAACGAACCCACACGAACGTACTTGGAGGTATAGTCGGCAATAACCCAAGGAAACACGGGGTATTGCGAGAGGTCGTTGAAGGAGCGAATAGCCTCGCGGTTGAGGTACATGAGGTAGTCGAAGTTGGAGATGCCGCCACTCACCCACTCCCTCACCCACTTGTCCCTACTGCGCATGCTCTCTATCGACAGCCCGGGCTGGTGGGAGCGGGAAGAGGAGGGACGGAGAAGTGGGAGGAGGGGAGCAGGAGAGGAAGAGAAAAGGAGGAGGGTGGGAGGAAAGGAAGTGAGGTCATTTTGAGTGAACAACCCCAAACAGCAGCGAACAGAACTTGGAACATTCCTGGGGGCTGGCAATTGAGTCAAGTAACGAGGCATCGTAGCCCAAGCACGAGCTAAACGCTTTCGTTTCGGGACACCTTCCAACACAGACAGGACCCGCACAGTCGCACCTGCTGCAGCAGCAGTGAGTAGAACCGGGAGCAGTCCTGAGTTGACTTGAACGTGAAGTAGATGCTGCCAGGCGAGCAGGTGGAGGAGGATAGGGGGAAGAGGGGGCGAGGGATGAAACAGTATTTCTCAAAGCTGTCATGGGCTAATTTGAACGTGACATAGATGCTGCCAAAGGAGCAGGCGGAGGAGAGGGTACCAGGCGGGGAGTGTAAATGGGAGAGGGTGGGGAACAAACTGGTACACAGACGAGAGGAGAGGAGAGGAGAGGAGAGGAGAGGAGAGGAGAGGAGAGGAGAGGAGAGGAGCACATGATGATATGAGTTGAGAAAGCGAGCAAGGAGGGGGAGGGAGGGGAAAGAGTTACCTTGACCATTGCGAGTAAAAGATCTCCACTCCGATCTGCATGGGGGAGATAGGTGGAGATGGGTGGAGATGGGTGGAGAGGGGTGGGGAGGGGTGGAGAGGGGGTAGAGAGGGGTGGAAACGGGTGAGGAGGGGGAATGGGTGAGGAGGGGGAATGGGTGAGATGGTAGTTGAAGAAGATATATCTCTCTGTTGTGGTATTCGCAGCTGCTGGGAAGATGCGGAGAACAATCGAATAAGTAAGACAAGACCTATGGTCACCACCAGGATAGCAGATACCAACACAGCTGGTAAAAACAGGAGTGCAGAGGATGAGAGAGTTTCAAGCTTCCACCAAGCTTCCACCAAGCTTCCATCAAGCTTCCACCAAGCTTCCGCCAAGCTTCCATCAAGCTTCCACCGAGCTCACCTCCTGCAGGTGTGTGCTTCTCCGCATGACAGCCGTGACCGTCCTCAGTGGGTGCCGCACCACGGGCACGGAAGAGACGTCGTTGAAGGGCTGAAAGTAGGCGCTGTAGGGCGTGAGGATGATGTGGCCCGGCTGCAGCAGCAGCAGCAGTGGGCTTGACTTTGCGTGCCTCTACCCCACTCACCTCTTGAAGATGTGTCGATTGGCGCATGACAGCCGTGACGGTCCTCAGTGGGTGCCGCGCGACAGGCACGGACGAGACGACGTTGAAAGGCTGGAAGTAGACGCTGTAGGGCGTGAGGATGATGCGGCCCGGCTGCAGCAGCAGCAGCAGCAGCAGATGGCTCGACTGCGCGTCCCTCTAACCCACTCACCTCTTGGAGGTGTGTGCTTCGCCGCATGACAGCCGTGACCGTCCTCAGTGGATGCCGCACGACAGGCACAGACGACACGACATTGAAGGGTTGAAAGTAGACGCTGTAGGGCGTGAGGATGATGCGACCCGGCTGCAGCACGAGGGGCAGCATCTGCGACCCCACCAGCTCCGCCACCACCCTGTCGTCCCCCTCCTCCAGCCACCCTGGGTTGAACCGCACCTGTGGAAGAGGAGAGGAAATGGGTGGGCAGGGAGGGAAGGTGAGTGGGGAGAGGAGAGGAGAGCAGCTCCGCCACCACTCTGTCGTCCCCCTCCTCCAGCCATCCTGGGTTGAACCTCACCTGGTGGCGGGGAAGGGAGGGGAGGGGGTGCACGTGGGTGGAAAGAGGGGAACACGTGGGTGGGTGGGCAAAGAGAAAGGGTGGATTGGTAGAGGAGAGGAGAGCAGCTCCGCCACCACTCTGTCGTCCCCCTCCTCCAGCCACCTCGGGTTGAACTTCACCTGGTGGGGAAAGGAGCAGGAGGGTGGGTGGGCGAAGAGAGAATGTGGGTGGGGAGTGAGGAGGGAAGGCGGGTGGGGAAAGGAAAGGACACCAGCTCCGGGGCACTTTTTCAGTTGCTCACAGAATCAATCACTATCCCTCTCTCCCCCAGCCCCTTCTCCTCCTCACCTCCTGCTCGTGCTCTTGCACAATCGCACTCAGCTTGCCCGGCTGCTCCCACGAGGGCCCCTGGGCGATGTCAAGCAGAGTTGACATGCGTGGCAGCACCGCTACAGAGTCATTCACTCCCTCACCCCTCCCTCTCTCACTCCCACAACCCCTCCCTCACTCACTGCCCTCACCCCCTCCCTCACTCACTCACTCCCCTCCTCCTCACCTCCTGCTCGTGCTCTTGCACAATCACACTCAGCTTGCCCGGCTGCTCCCACGAGGGCCCCTGGGCGATGTCAAGCAGAGTTGACACGCGTGGCAGCACCGCTACAGAGTCATTCACTCCCTCACCCCTCCCTCTCTCACTCCCACAACCCCTCCCTCACTCACTGCCCTCACCCCCTCCCTCACTCACTCACTCCCCTCCTCCTCACCTCCTGCTCGTGCTCTTGCACAATCACACTCAGCTTGCCCGGCTGCTCCCACGAGGGCCCCTGGGCGATGTCAAGCAGAGTTGACACGCGTGGCAGCACCGCTACAGAGTCATTCACTCCCTCACCCCTCCCTCTCTCACTCCCACAACCCCTCCCTCACTCACTGCCCTCACCCCCTCCCTCACTCACTCACTCCCCTCCTCCTCACCTCCTGCTCGTGCTCTTGCACAATCACACTCAGCTTGCCCGGCTGCTCCCACGAGGGCCCCTGGGCGATGTCAAGCAGAGTTGACACGCGTGGCAGCACCGCTACAGAGTCATTCACTCCCTCACCCCTCCCTCTCTCACTCCCACAACCCCTCCCTCACTCACTGCCCTCACCCCCTCCCTCACTCACTCACTCCCCTCCTCCTCACCTCCTGCTCGTGCTCTTGCACAATCGCACTCAGCTTGCCCGGCTGCTCCCACGAGGGCCCCTGGGCGATGTCAAGCAGAGTTGACACGCGCGGCAGCACCGCCGCCAGCGACGTGTACAGCAGAGCAAAGGCAAAGGCGAAGTCGCCGCGGTGATGGCGGTAGGGCGCGTGGCGGTTGCCCACCTTCACGTCTGTGCGCTCACTCGCACATATGATCAGAAACTCCTCCCCCCTCTCCCCCCCCATGTGCGCCGCCCTGTGTGGGGGGAGGGGGAAGAGGAGGGGCGGTCCGGGAAGGGAACGGGAGGAGGGAGAGGTGGGAATGAAGGGAGACGGGAGTGGGGAGAAAGGGCGAAGTGGTGTTGGAGCTGATAAGGGGGGAGGGGGGCAGAGCAAAGGGGACTGTCTGGAGGGAGAGAGGGATGCAGTTGAATTGAGGGAAGGGAGGGGAGGGCAGACAGAAGGGAATCCAAAAAATCGACCACACGCCCACATGCACGCCGGACCACACACATACCCACCCACGCCCACCAGTCAACAGCCGACACACAACCAAAGGGAATGCGAAATGCGGGCTCGAGAGCGCTCTTGGGCTCAAGAAGATCGACGCACTGCACAGCTTCAGGTGCCCCTGCACCCGCTTTCTTACCCAATTTCTGGGCCATTTCACAGATTGACTACACACAACCACACGCACGCAGACCCACCCACATGCCCACCTGTCAACAGCCGACACGCAGCCAAAGGGAATGCAGAAGACGGGCTCCAGAGTGCTCTTGGGCACAAAGAATATCGACGCACTGCACAGCTTCAGGCAGGTGTTCCGAAACCCGCTTTCCAATCCAACTTCTGAGTCATTTCACAGATTGACTACACACACCCACACGCACGCAGACCCACCCACGCGCCCACCTGTCAACAGCCGACACGCAGCCAAAGGGGATGCGGAAGACGGGCTCCAGGGTGCTCTTGGGCACAAAGAATATCGACCCGCTGCACAGCTTCAGGTGCCCCTGCACCCGCTGCGTGCCGCCGTTGGGGTAATAATTACACGCGTAGTCCTTAAAATAGTACTCCCCTTCCTCTAGCAGCAGCAGATTGAACCTATCCGGGCCTTCTATGACTAGTTTTTGACTGTTTTGATCCCCGCCTTTGCCTCCCCCTGCGCCTCCGCCTCCCTCCCCCGCACCTCCGCCCTTTCCCCCGAACAACCCCCCTGCCCCCGCCCCATGCAGCATCCGAGACAGCATGCGCGCGCTGCTTCCGCCCTTCCCCCCTCCCCCCGCGCCTCCCGCTCCGCCAGTACCTTCCTTCCGCCTAGGACTCGGCATCCCCTTAACCGTAATCTTTCTGCGCCGCGGGGAAGCATATTTGGGCAACGGGGGGGTCCCCGTGGACCTTTCCGCACCCGCTCCCCCTGATCCCCCGAACCCCCCGAGCCCCCCAAGCCCCCGGAATCCGCCTCCCCCGCCTACGCTGCGCGTGCTGCTGCTTCCGCCGTCGCTAGGCGTGGGGAGGGGGAGATCGTCCGCTCCCCCTCCCTCTTCAGGGGGGATCTCTACATACAGCTGCTCGGCGCGCATTCGTCCCTGCCTTCGCCGCTGCTGCTGCTGCTGCCGCCGATGCCACCCCTCCCCTCCACTCATCCCATCCTCACTCCCCCCTATGCCTTCTGACTCCTCCCCATCCGTTCCCTCAGTCCACTCGGTGCCCGTCTCGCCCCCCTCACCCTCCTCTCCCTCCTCCCTTTCATCTACACTCGATTCTGACTGGGAGTGGTGATACCTCAACGGACTGGATTGCATCATGGGGCTGCCGGAGTGCATCGACGGACTGGATTGTCTCAGCGGGCTGTGCATCAACGGACTCAATTGCTTCAGAGGACTGCCAGAAAAGAACCGACCGCCTCGCTCCTGCTCTTTCTGCTTCCTCTGCTGCCGCCCCAGCATCTGCCACTGCTGCTGCTGCCCCGCCCGCTGCCCCTCTTCCTCGTCCTGCTCCTGCTTCTCCTCCTGCTCCTGCTGCTCTTGCTGCTGCTGCTCCTACTGCATCTGCTGCTTCTGGTCCTTTCCAGCCTTCCTCTGCTTCATCATCTTGAAAATCGACATCTTTCCAACTGCTTCCAGGCCCGACCGTGGCCTTATCGCCGGTTCTGACTCTGACCGCGGGATTTCCATAGGGTGGCTCACTCCCGCGCCCTCCGCCTCCTCGTCCCCCTCTTCCCCTTCCCTCTCCTCCCCTTCCGCCTCTTCCGCCTCCCTCGCCCTCCCCTCCTCCTCCTCGTCCCGCCCCTCACCCGCACTAGAACGACCAGACATACCGCCTTCCCCAGCTGTTCTTAACTCCCCAATACCACCAGCAGCACCACCATCAGCAGAACTACCACCACCAGCACCTTCGAAACCCATGCTCCCGCTGCTACTCCGTCTCCCGCTCTTTCTCCGTCTGTGCTGCTTCTTCCCCTCGTTACCATCACCTCTTCCCTCCTCCTCCACCTGACGCAGCGCCTGCTGGATGTTCCACGCTGGCGCTGACGTGGTCCTACTCAGCCGTCTCAATCCCCCAATCCCCATCCCCCCGCTTCCATCCGCGCCAGCGCCTGCGCCTGCGCCGAGCCCCACTCCCCCGCTTCCGATCAGCCCAAACAGTCCCCCCGCGTTATTGGCGCCGTCCCCGCTTCCCCCCCATGACCCGATACCAACCCCTCTGCGCCCAGAGCACCCGGAAAACACGGGAGAGTTTCCTTCCTCTTCCCCTTGCCCTTCTAATTCCCCTAACCGTTCCCCCTCCCCCTGCGCCTCCGCGTCGGCGGAGGAGATGGAAGCGGAAATGCTTTCGTCCCCGCCCAACGATCGGCGGAAGAAGAAAAAATTCGGGCTGGGAGTGCGCCGGTGAGGGCGGAAGGGGGAGGAGGAGGAGAAGGGGGAAGCGGACGTGCGGGGGAAAGCGCCCACTCCACCCCTGGTATCGGCAATCCCGGCGGAAAGACTGGCATCCCTGGCATGTCGAACAAGGCCTGCGCTAGCTCCAGTTCCCGCGCTAGGCACGCCGGCGGAGGCGGAAGCGGAAGCGGAAGCGGACTCTGAGAGATCTTGAAGCTCCTCCGGATGACTGGAGCCGGCGGACGGGCAGGGGGAAGACGACGCGGTTCCCCCTTGACTTCCCCCATGGCCTCCGCTGGCACTTCCCCATGGTCCCGGCGGGGGTATTCGCGCAGAAACTACGCCTTTCTCCGACGACGATCTGGGGAAGAAGGATCGGCGGATGACAGATCTGCCTGCGGACTCCCCCACCGTACGATGCGATCCCGATGCAGCATCCGACGACGCTCCCTGAATCGCGGCGGTTGTTCCGGAATCGCCTGTAGGCCTAGGTGGTAAATCAAAAGACCGAGGCGCGGTCCCCGTTAGGGCGGGTCCAGAGGCTCGGCTCTGCCAGCTGTCGCTCGAACCAGACTGAGAGGAAGACGGGACGGCAGCCATGGAACTGGCGTTAGTGGAGTGTGACGCGTGAGGAACGAGTGAAACGAAGTACCGTGTCAAAACTCTAGGTCTGATCTTGCAATGTACGAGTCTGTCGTTTGAACGAGCTGATGAGGGTCGTCCTAACCGTCGCTGTCTTCGTCGTCGTCGCTTTCAAGGGAGAACATGATTGGCGAGACCCAGGCAAAGAAGGACGTCGAAAGGGAATGCAATGGCGGTAACCGAACAATTACAGCTGAATGCACTGACCTAATGAAACGGAAACTGGAGGCAAATACGCTATGTCTTTTTAGTTTGACTTAAAACGTGTTTCTAAACGTCGTGCTTTGGAAACAGATGCCTATTATCACGTCGCCTAACGAGCTTTGCCAGTCTGTTTTTCCGTATCGTGCAATACAACTTGTCAACATACGTTTCTGGTGAAGCTGTGCGAGCTAAGATGGATTATGGCGGTCGCTACCAGACAAGTTACGGTTGAGCGAGCGACATGGTGTTGATGCAGGAATAGGCGAGCATCATAAAGCTCAGCTCCAGGTTGTTGCTGAAAATGAGTCAGCCGAGCTGAGCAAAGCAAGCAGGCAGCCATGATTCATGAAAAGGCACGACAGGCATAAGCCATAGCACAGTATCATCTGCCCTGGATGCCTCGGTTGTATCCCGCACCGAGCCAGTATCAAACCAGTGCCGAACCAGTGTTGAAACTGGCTTAGGAGGGCGCAAGTGGTTAAGGAGGTGAGGAATCAGGTGAACACCTCAGAGGCTGACCGAGCCAAATAATACAGCCGATCGGTGCGAGCAGCTGAACCCCAAACCTAAAGATTCCATGAAGTTGGGTCTTCGCCAACCTCAACCCCTGGTTTGGTTTGGGACCATACCCAAAGGTACAGTTTGGGTGGGAGGAGATGAGCAAGCCTCCCTCCCTCCCTTTCCCCAGCCAAGCCATGCGCCAGGCCATGCCAGTAATGCCACACTGGAGTCAGTGACAAGCGAGCCTGAGGCGAGTCACTGTCACTCGCGCAGTGACCGTGCGACAGGCCTCCCTCCAGCTAGGTAAATCTTTACTGAAGTGTGCGAAATCAGATAGAGACGAGTAACCAGTTTGGTCCGCGACTGGATAACCTCCAACTTCCTGGCACATGGACATGACGGGAAGAGAACTTCGTCGTACTCAACGGCCAGATATATTCCAGGCTGGCGAGAAGGTTTTTTACGAAGTTACACGCAAATGATTGTCTTTTTCGTGATTCGTCCTGGCGCTTCTGCAGGCAGACGACAGGGAAGGGGACAAAATATGTCGAAATGCCAGCCTGGAAAACAGACACAAACAAGCATCCATTCCGCATGTCGGTAATCTGGAAAACCCCTGAAGGTCAGTCAACACTCTTCCAAGCATATTGATAAGGCCCATGTGATATTAATGGCATATACCATCTCGGTACCACGACACATCTTTCAATGCTTCATGAAAAAACCCTTGACCAGGGCAAATATAAACTAACAAAATGGCACGTAGTTGGACCGTAGACTAAAGTGGGTCCGTGGCTCGGTCCACCAACACCGAGTGGTAGGGTACTTCCATACGCATTTCTTACGGGCCATCATCACCTAGGCCACCAGCCAGGTGTTAATGCACATGCAATGTGTAAACTGCTGAGTTTGTCAAAACATGCCTCGTGTCTCACACATCAAGTGACGTAGTTAAGAATGTGTACCGTACTATGCTATAGATAAGGGGTCTCAGCCTCGCATAAGGTCAATGACAGATTTAGAAAAAAAAGATAAAAAAAAAACCTTGGATTCTCGAATCCAACGAAATTGATTAAATTGAAAAAAATCCGAAACGACGAAGGCACATCATTTAACAAATCCGCCACATCATCTCTATAGTACAGCAACAGAAATAGCTAAGCAAGAGTACGTGTCAATTAGTACGTGTCGAGGAACTTGCGGGGAGCAGCGGGTAGGCCACCGCCGACAGCAGAGCCCATCATGTTCATGGCGATCGACATCTCATCGTCGATCGACTCGGCGCGCTGGAAGCGGCAGAACTTGCAGTCATTCTTGAGCAGGTCCGACACCTCATAGTCATCCATGGCACCGTCGATGAAACCCTCGGCATTGTCGCCGGGAACAACCATCACACCGAGGAGATCGCTCCACTGCAGCTTCTGCTGGGCACTGAGGAAATACACCAGGAAAAATAGAAAACCATGAGACAAACCCGGGAGCAAACAGCGAAAAATTAACAAAAGAACATGCTGAGGATAGCGAGAGAAAACTAGTGAGGAAGGGCAAGCAGGCTTACAGTCGGCCGGAGAAGTCGGGGCGGAAGGTCTGGCCCAGAACACCGTGCACGGCCTTAGAGAAGGACGAAGAAAGCACATCGAGACCGAAGTGAACCGCTCCGTCGGTGGCAGTGCGCAGGTTCTTGACCTCGGGCCTCAAGGTCAGGCGGATGGTGGCAACGTTGCCGATCTTGACATCGTACACGTCAACCAGATCGGTACCGCTCAGCTCGCGAGACGCCTCCCACCGGAGAGTGGCACCCTCCCAGAGCCCGACGCTAGTGCCGGGAACGGTAATCTCGACGGGGACACCGTCGACAACAACGCGGGCGAGGTAGCCGTTGAGGTACTCGGCGTCGGCACCGCGGCGCGCCTCGAGGACGAGGGTGTGGTGGCCGGCCATGATACCGACGGACCGAATCCATGTGAGGGACTTGATGTCGCCGTTCCAGCGCGAGTAGCGGCCGCCGAAGAAGCCGTTCATCTGGAAGTGCGGGTCGGAGATGAGAGCGTAGTTGCGGTTCGGCTTACCAGAGAAGTCAAAGTGCGAGCCGTCAGCGCCGGTGAAGTGGGGGTCACCCTTGTTCTTCCCGTCGCAAAGCTCGCCAACGGTGAAGTTGGCGGGAACTTCATAGTCGACGGTGCCGACGCCGCGGGCCGGCTCCATCCACTTGGAGCTGTAGCTCTTGTCGTCCTTGCACTGGAGCTTGTTGTAGCACGTGCAGATACCGCCGGTACCCTCAAGGCAAGTCTCCTCAAACATCCAGTACTTGGCCTTGTTGGCCGAGTTGAAGTTGCTGGGGAGCTTCATGTTGTATGAATCGCAAACCTTGTAGCAATCAAGCTGGGGAGTCTCGATTTTGTCGTCGGTAACATTGTCCTTCACGTAGTTGTACATCTGGCCGGGGGTGAAATACGCCTCGTACAGAGGGTCGGCAGGCTCCTTGTAGGGGTCCTTAGGGTCGGTGAACTTGCCATAGAGGAAGTTACCCGGGCCGCAAACGAACTTAGGGCACACATCGGCATACGCGACCGTGGCGAAGAGGGCAAGGCATACTAAGACGGACAGACGCGCCATTGCGAAAAGCTTGCTCTAGAGGTCTACCGGTTGGATTAGCTAACTGTGAATTGTATAAATGAGCAAGCTGTCTTGGTTTTGAGCTGGTGGAAAGGGTGGGAGATATGAAGCTACAAGAGGCAGATTGATGCTGCTGGACACATTTGGAAAGGCAGGAGGGTGTGGTGATAAAAGAGACGACAGGTTCGGCGCGGGACAGGTTCGGTCTCTGCTGCTGGAGCTGCTGCTGCTGCTGTTGCTGCTGCCGTTCCGCCTGACAGAGACGACGTTGGTTGGTTCGGAATGGGACACGGAACACGGATGGTGGGGGGAATTCTGGGTGAGAAGTGGCATCGTGTTGCTGAAACCACCTGAGCGGATGAACGACAAGCAACCAGCCGAAGGTATCCTAACCTGGACTCAACGGTCTCGCGCAGCTTGTAGATTTTTCTGAGGCGATGTGAGCATGCAGGTGGCTTTTCAGGTGAAACTTTATGAACATGGGATAACTGTAACGGGCTATTCGCGCGAAGATCACCTGAATACGGAACGTAGGGTGGGGAAGCGACAAATGATTTCGCCCAGACTTGCTATCTGAAGGTAGGTGCGGGCTGGATAGCGTGAGCGGCGCCCCAAAACATTTCATGTTTAGAAATTGCACAAATTGCACATCTGCAACATTACTATTTACGCATCATTCATGTTTGGAGCATGTTTTCTTGTAGGAAAACAAATCATGTTTGGAAAAAAAAATGTATGAAAACAACATTGTTGAAACTACAGCATCAATAGTATTCTCAAACTATACATACGGTACTACCATTGTGAATATACTTTGTTTTTACCAGCAATTGCATATTTTCTAAACCTCGCCAACCCTTTCTAGGTTCCGGTACTTGTCCTTCAGATCAACCTGCAAATATGAAAAGCGCAGCGACATTGTCATTGTTGGGCCGAACATAACAAGTAAAGCTTCAAAGCCAGGCACAATGCAATGTTATACAAATGAGTCAAATGGCAACATGTTATAGGAAACCATTTAGGTAGACGGTTGCACATCCATGGTAGGCCTCAAGCCATTCAAGGAGAGCCTGGATAAATCAAGGCATAGCCCCCCCAGTTTCAAACGCGCTGCGTTTGAAACCCCAGCCTGGAAACCTATCATGCGGGCTTTAATGTGAACACGCGGGAGAAATCCAAGACGCCCAAAACACAATGAATCAAGCAGGTATGGGTTGGGTCACTCGCCTGAGTCCGGCCTGCAAAGACATCGGCGTATTCGTGCATGATCTGGCTCCACAACTTGCCAAACCTGCCATGCCATGCCATGCCATGCATAGCACGCACCAGGGACAGACAGGTGTTACAGGGCAAACAAGACGTCAATGTCCCGGTGATAGAAAAACGCGGAAAACGAAAACGAGGAAAACAACAGAACAGAAAGAGAGCACCCAAATCCCCAGCCAAAACCACACACTCACAGCATATGCTGAGACGATTTTCCAGCCGTATAAAAATATGTAGTGCCTCAGATACTGAGGCACCTCAAGCTGCAGCTCAAACCTCACCTCATGACGCCAATCTTGAGTGTGTCTGTCTCCTCCGCACTGAACGGCCGCTTGGGCCTCCTCAGCTTCCCAGTCGCAGTCACAGTGCCTCCCCGCCTACTCACACCCTGCCCCGTACCACCCCTTGCAGCAGCACCAGCAGCAGTGGCAGGAGAAGCAGCATGCAGGTTGAGAGGGGAGAGGTGGGGGGCGGAGGGCGTTCGTAGGTGCACTGTGGCGGGCATACTGGTGCGGCCATGCCGGTTGTTGGGACCATGGGGTTGAGCTGGCTCTTGAGTCTCTTCCAACTCCCCGTCATCGTCAGACCACTGCATGGGACACGCATATGAGAATGGTGAAAGGGATTGGAACATGGGATTGAGCATGTGGTTTGAGCATGTGGTTTGAGCATGTGGTTTGAGCATGTGGTTTGAGCATGTGGTTTGTGCATGTGGATTGTGCATGTGGATTGTGCATGTGGATTGTGCATGTGGTTTGTGCATGTGGATTGTGCATGTGGATTGTGCATGTGGATTGTGCGTGTGGATTGTGCATGTGGATTGTGCATGTGGATTGTGCATGTGGATTGTGCATGTGAAGGTTTGCCTGTGAAGGCTTTGCTTGGCTCTGGAGTCTCTTCCAAATCCCCATTGCATGGGACGAGCATATGAGAATGGTGAATGGGATTGGAGGATGTGGTTTTGAGACGTCTCAAAACTAGAATTTGCTTGGCTCTGGAGTCTCTTCTCTTCCAACTCGCTGTCATCGTCAGACCACTGCGTGGGACAATCATATGCGAACGGTGAATGGGATTGGAACATGGGACGGTGCATCCCTGTCCAGACACAACGGCTTGCCTTAAGTGAGGAAATCCATGTGGTGTGTCATAAAGTGTCATACCTCTAGAATGCGTGCGGTTGGTTGCGGGTCCATCCTCCTCCTCCTCCTTCCACCCCCTTCCCTTCCCTCTCCATCCTCCTCTCTCCCATCTTCACCACGCCTTCTTCTCTCACCCCCACCTTTTCCCAGAACTTCCAACCCAGTCTCACTAGCTACTCTCCTTCCCCCTTCTTCCCCCTGTTTCTTCCCTTTCCTCCTCATACCAGCTTCATTCGTCCTCCTTTCCTCCTCACCCTCCTCTTCTTCCTCCTCCTCCCTCACTTGTTCCAACCCCACCCTCTCCTTCCTTACCCCTCCCCTTGCTTTACTACCCTGAACGACTTCCCTCTCTTCCCCCAAGCCACCATTCCTAGCCTCACCCCCAGCCTTACCCCGAGCCTGATCCCGGACCTGAGCTTTAGCAGCCTCGGCCAATCGTAGTGCGTCAGGCAAGGGGTCCTGCCCTACCGCCTTCAGTCTCGCACTGCTCTCTCGCAACTCACGAACCATCTGCTCCGCATCACCACTGACAGCAGCGGCGGTGGTGGTGGCGGCTGAAGGTGCTGCTTCATGATTCTGTGCCTGTTGAACCGCCTCATAAGCTTCTTCTTGGTTCTGTGCTCGAGTGGATTGCTGCTGCTGCTGTTTCGGCTCCCCTTGTGGCTCTTGTGACTGCCCCTGTTTTCGCTGCACCTGGTCCTGCTGTTGCTTCTCTTCCCTCGGATCCTCATGTTTACGGGCCCCTGCAAGACACACAGAAAAGCAATCAAAATCAGCACCCGGGTGAAATGACATAAGCTAGATGACATGGTCCACAGGGGCTTGCGCTATGAGAGAAACAGACACGGGCAAGATGCACTGACTGACCTCGGTTCAGGCCTTCAGGGAACCAGCTCCTGATAAGATCATGCGCGGCTACAGTCACATATCCTTTAGGGCATCCGACCTCAGTATCACATTCACCACTACCAGCAAGACCGCCATCAGTGATAATGGAAGGACCATCAAGACTATCAGCACCATCACCATGACCACCACCGCCGCCTCTTCTCTCTCTTCCTTCCCCCCAAACAGCATCCGTCCTCATAATCATATTACCTAAAAGCACTTGCTCTGCAATCCCGTCCAAACTCGGCCGCCCGAACCGAGCCCACGAATCGTCCATATACCTCCTAACCAACTTGGCAGCCTCGGCAACAGGATACTTTTGTACGAGACTAGCCCGCAAACTCTTGTTGTCCACAGCTGCGAATAGCTCCATCCGCCTAGCCTTTTGCTGCTGCATGTTATTCGATTCTGCTGCATCCACGTCATCATCGTCTGATTCGTCACCAGGGTCGGACCAAACCTTTTCCAAAACTTCACGGTACTCCGCAACTTCCCATGATTTCCCGCCAAGAAACCGAACCGCAACGGCTGTCATAACCTCTAGCAGAATTTTTGGCCCTGGCGGTGGCCCAAGCTCCTTTCGCTGGAAATAATCCAGAACGTTTGCCAATCCGTCCTCGTCGGAACACATTCGCCTATCAGGAGCAGGAACACCGTGCAGACGTTCTTTGTTGCGGTGGGATTTCTCGGAGCTTCGAGCGTATTTGTCGTCGTTAGAAAGTCTATTAAGACCTTTAATAATATCGAGAACTTCTTCCGAAACCCCGCTCGTGTTCAAGTAATGCTCCATGGTTCGCAGCATAGACATTTTGTTTAACAACAAGTTGTGGTTAGGAAAGTTGCCCAGCTGTTTTATGTCGTACATCAAGGCCTGGTATGGACGATTGAACAGAAAGTGTTCCCAACATAACTCCAGTATCCGCTCCTTATACTCATCGGGGTCCGCTGCTGACGCCATCTCTCAGTAACGGCGTCAGTTGGTGGTTCTGCGGGACTCAATGCGAAAAAGAATCGCCTAATGAGGTTGAAATCGATGAAATTCGATCACGATTAGAAAAAAAACAAATAACGGTTAATGAGAGCCTGGTGCTTGCAAGCTGAGATGCTGAAAGCTAGATAGAACTGGACTCGAGCTACCATTACAGATAGCTCAGTAAAACGGGGAGAAAGCGCGAAACGGATTCTTGCGAGAACCAGGAAAGGAAAGGTTTGGTTCGGTTCGGTTTGGTTGGGCTGAAGTACCCAGGGTGACCAAAGGCCAATATTTTGGCGGGAAACTGACTCCAAAAAATGGACAACTGAGGAGCCTCCGCCGCAAGAGTCACGGTGACGCTGCATGTGCGGCGGGGCGGGACAAGGTTTTCGCTGATAGAGTTGCAGTGCGCTTCGTATAGGCTATATATGATACTCAGTAACTGCCCATTAAATAATTTCTTCATTCGCGTTGTAGGCATTGCCCTGGTGTTATTGCCCATCACCTTCACAACGGTTTGCTAACTGCGTACTCAACTGCATGTCAGGACCGATGAATGTATGAGATGTTAGCTTCAAAAAGGTTTTTTTTTTCTGTCATAACAGATATATTGGTGGCAAATGCCATACTTGATAGCATACGGAAGGGTCGGGACGGGACCCTAAGAAACAGGGTAACTAGGTAACGAACACCCACAAAGAATGAAAGGTAGACCTGAATACACATGATGGCAGGTCAACATGAAATTGGTTCCCAAGAACCTGCAAACAAGAGAGAACAAGAAGAGCGAGCAAACAAGATCAGCAAAAACAACAACAAAGTTTCTTTCGCTGTCCAATTCCTTTCATGCCAAAGCTAAAAATACTGTATTCGGAACAAGCATTGGCTGGGCTACAGCTCACCTTGTCATGCCGTGGATGGAGATAGCTAGAAGAACGAGGAGAAGTTGGATGCATACGCCATGGGCCGCACATTCGGGTGGGGCTGCCAGGGAGATAGGGTTGTTGAGGCGATGAGAGAGGGGGAGCGAGGGGAAGGCGATGAGTGTGGGTTTTTGAGGTGCCTCAAAAGAAGAACGATGAGAAGTTGGATGCATACACCAAGGGCCGCACATTCGGGTGGGGCTGCCAGGGGAACACCGTAGGGGTGTTGATTGAGCGAAGGAAGAGAGGGGAAAGAGATGAGTGTGGGCTTCTGAGGCGCCTCAAAAGAGGAACGAGAAGTTGGATGCATACACCATAGGCCGCACATTCGGGTGGGGCTGCCAGGGAAATACTGTAGGCGTGTTGACTGAGCGAAGGAAGAGAGGGAAAGATGATGAGGTTGGGAAGGAAGAGAGGTTTCAACGACACCTTTTAAGAGGAAGGCGACAAGAAGGCAACGACAAAGCAAAACTAACAACAACAGCAACAGCAGCTCCAGCAGCAGCACTCACCACGGCAGTGTAAGTGGTGAAGTTGGGCTTAAGATCAGGTGCTTGGAAGCGGATGAAGGCGCCCTTGTTGCCCATCTGGTCGCAGTAGTTGGGCGCTGAGAACACCGTGATCAGCTGCCCTTCGTGTTCCTCCTCGTACCCCTCCTCCTTCACCTCGTGTGACCGCACCACCAGGTCTGCCAAGTGAGACACAAAACCACAATAACGGGAGCTTCAAGGCTTTGTTGGTCGCTGAGAACACAGTGATGAGCTGCCGTTCATGCTCCTCCTCATACCCTTCCTCCTTCACCTCGTGTGACCGCACCACCAGGTCTGTTGGGCACACAAGTGAGACACAGAACCACATATAACAGCAACTTCAAGGTTTGTTTGGGTGCTGAGAACACCGTTATCAGCTGCCCCTCGTGCTCCTCCTCGTACCCTTCCTCCTTCACCTCATGTGACCACACCACCAGGTCTGCCAGTTACAAAAAATGGGATATACAACCATTTATGACGTAGAGAAAGAAAAAAATCACTGTAAGCTTTCTCTACCACAAAGAGTCTCAGAAACACAGGACCCTCTACCATAGCTTTCTCACGCACCCAGGTTGCCCTCTTCTTCCCCCCCTCTCATGCCCCTTGCCCCTTCCCAACGCAACCCAGCTTGCTGTCCTGCAGAAACCGCTTGGTGACGTCAGAGCCAAAGGCCACGCCCACTCCACCAAACCCCACTCAGCGAGCTTGCCCCCCCCACTCAAATACCCAGCTTGTCCCGTTGCCCTCACCCCCTCTCTCCCCCCACTCACGCACCCAGCTTGTTGTCCTGCAGGAACCGCTTGGTGACGTCAGAGCCAAAGGCCACGCCCACTCCTCTCTTGCTCGGCATGCGTCCCTGCCCGGAGAAGGGGTCGCTCCACAACACCTCGCACATCAGCCCTGTGCACAAGAGGGGCCAGCAACGTGGGCACACACAGAAGCAACACAGAAGCAACACAGAAGCAATGACAAGGGATGAGAACCCCCATCCCCCACATCTCTCTTGCTCGGCATGCGTCCCTGCCCGGAGAAGGGGTCGCTCCACAACACATCGCACATGAGCCCTGCAGCACACATGGGGACACCAATGCCGGCACACATGGAAAGAACAATACAGGTAAGCACTTCCATCCCACGCCCACGCCTCTCTTGCTCAGCATGCGCCCCTGCCCCGTGCACGACAAACACGCGGCTGCTGATGACATGCGCCAGGGGCAAGCATCAGAAGACAGGCGTGCATGCAGCCAACCAACCCCCGCACTGCTCTCACCTTCATCTGGCGGCTCTTGGAAGCGGTTGATGCCTCTCACGTCGTCCAGTGTCACCCCATCTTTGCTGAAGAGCCCCCCGTGCACCACAAACACGCGGCTGCTGATCACATGCGCCAGAGGCAGGCAGCAGAAGACGTCAGCAAACAGCTCCACCATGGGCTCGCCGCACTTGGCCTTCACCTCGCCATCGAAGCCGTATATGCGGTTCATGCTGCGCGACTCGTGGTTGCCACGGGCGAGATAAAGGCCTGGTGAAGGATGGGGGAACGAATGGGGGGAGGGAGGGGAGGAGGCAGAGAGAGGCAGTGCGGGAGGGAGGGCAGAGGGAGGAGAAGAGGGTATGGGAGGGAGGGCAGAGGGAGGAGAAGAGGGTATGGGAGGGAGGGCAGAGGGAGGAGAAGAGGGTATGGGAGGGAGCGCAGAGGGAGGAGAAGAGGGTATGGGAGGGAGGGCAGAGGGAGGAGAAGAGGGTATGGGAGGGAGGGCAGAGGGAGGAGAAGAGGGTATGGGAGGGAGGGCAGAGGGAGGAGAAGAGGGTATGGGAGGGAGGGCAGAGGGAGGAGAAGAGGGCATGGGAGGGAGGGCAGAGGGAGGAGAAGAGGGTATGGGAGGCCACGTGGTGAGAGGCAGGCAGCAGAAGACGTCAGCTAAGAGCTCCACCATGGGCTCGCCACACTTGGCCTTCACCGGTACACTGTACTCACCGGTGGGGTAGAGGCACTTGAAGGCGAAGAGTGTGAAGATGCACTCGATGGAGAAGCTGCCTCGGTCCACAAAGTCCCCGTTGAACAGGTAGGGGTTGGCATCAGAGGGCAGGCCGTTCAGCTCAAAGATGTTCATCAGGTCGAAGTACTGGCGGGGCGAGAGGGGCACCGGGGAGAGGCGTTTCGCAAGCTTGCTTAGTTAATGCTTCTCCGGCAAGGATTCACAAGGGGGTGGTTGTGGGGAGGAGGGGATGGTGTAATGGCAGGCCGTTGAGCTCAAATATGTTCAAGTCAAGGAACTGGTGGGGAGCAAGGGTAATGGGGGCAGGGCGGAGGGAGGAGGCAAGGTTAAAGAAGCGGGTGGGGTGTGAACAAGTAGGGGTTGGCGACGGCGTCTGAGGGCCGGCCGTTGAGCTAAAAAACGTTCATTAAGTTGACGAACTGGCGGGGAGAGGGGAGTAAGGGGGAGGGCGGGGAGACAAGGGTAAAGAACGGGGTGGTTGTGCGCAGGGACGGGATCGCCTGGGGGAAGGCCGCTGAGGTGGAGGATGTGCATCAAGTGAAAGAACTGGCGGGGAGAGAGGTAGAGAAGGGATGTGGCATGGAGAAGGAACGGGAAAGAAGAAAGGTTGAGTGAGGTGGTGGGAAGATGGAAGGTGAATCAGCGGTGGTTGTGATGTGACAGGCTTCCCCTGCCCGCATCGTAAACGTCTCACCTGCCCGTAAACGTCTCACCTGCCCGAGAATGCCTCACCTGCCCGTGAATGTCTCCGCAGACTGTGATGTGTTGACCGTCGGGCACCTGAATGTCTACCAGGGACGGCAGCACCCGCAGCTGCTCTCGTATCTGAAACAGAATCTGGTAGGCATATCTGGGGATTGGGGAGAACGAAAGGGAGGGGTATGGGACGAGAAGAGGGGGGAATGAGACGGGGGAGGAATGTCCACCATCGTGGCAGCAGCCGCAGCTGCTCTCGTTTCTGAAACAGAATCTGGTAGAGGGAAAGGCAAGGTACATGCATCACTTGATCTCGTATCTGAATCAGAATCTAGTACATGTATCTGGGATTCTGGGAAAGGTCGTATCTGAAACAGATCCTGGTACATGTATCTGGGAACTGGGGAAAAAGAGGAGCTTTGAAATTTCTTCTGATGAGTGTGCACCTTCTGTGAAGCTTCTTCTACTGAGTGCGCACCTTCTGTGAAGCTTCTTCTGCTGAGTGCGCACCTTCTGTGAAGCTTCTTCTGCTGAGTGCGCACCTTCTGTGAAGCTTCTTCTGATGGGTGCGCACCTTCTATGAAGCATCTTCTGATGGGTGCGCACCTTCTATGAAGCATCTTCTGATGGGTGCGCACCTTCTATGAAGCATCTTCTGATGGGTGCGCACCTGCTATGAAGCATCTTCTGGTTCTTGAACGCATCCATCATCTTCTGAACGAACGAAAGAGTCACCTCCTCGCCCTCCAGGCGCGGCCCATCGTATGTTGCATCCACCTCTGCAAGGGGTGTAGGGGCGGGTGGGGTGTTAGTGTATGTGCATGCGATACATATGATGAGTGAAGGCAGAGGTAGAGTCACCTACTCGCCCTCCATGCGCGGCCCATCATATGTCGCCTCCACGTCTGCTCTGCAAGAGGATGAGGGGCGGGTGGGATAAGCCAAGTCAACAAAGGTCAAAGGGAGTCAAGCTCACCTATGCTGCTGACATCAACACCACAGTCACTGAAGCCCAGAGGCCCGCTGTCTGGACTGGCGATGACATTCTGAGACTCGGGTCAACCAAGTCAACATAAGTCAACGGGAGTCAAACCCACCTATACTGCTGACGTCAATGCCAAAGTCCCTGAATCCCACGGGCCCGCTGTCTGGACTGGCTATGGCGTTCTGAAACGCCTCCTCCCTGACTGCCTTCTCACACTCCTTCAGCTTCTTGCGTGCGTCTGGGTCCCTTGGGGCAATCTTGGCTGCCTGTATGGGCGAGAGAAGAGGAGAGGGAGATTGGTGGTGAACAAAGGTAAGGGAACCAGCTCCTCCCTGACTGCCTTCTCACACTCCTTTAGCCCTTGCGTGCGTCTGGATCCCTTGGGGCAATCTTGGCTGCCTGCATGGTCGAGAAAGGGAAGCACAGGAGGAAAAGTGCGCCACAGAAAACAAGAGCAGAAAATATGACTTCTGATTCAACTCATGGGTCACCCCAAAAAAGCAATGATACAAAGAAGAGAATGCACCAAGGAAAACAAGGGACAAGAAGGAACCACGGAGGTGAGGGGGAGTGAGGTTGGGAGGCGGGAAGCGGGGCAGAGTTAGGTGAAAGATTCAAAAGGTTGAGCTGACCTGTTTGAAGTCTTTTAATGCGTCTTTGAACTTGCCCATAGCCAAGTATGCTGTGCCTCTCCGGTAGTAGCCCTGGAAGGAGGAGAGAGAAGGAGAGGAGAGGCGGAATCTGTTTGATACGAGTGTGTATTAATAACGGCACGGCAGCGATCAGACATGCATGGCCATGCGTAGCTGCACGGCCATGCGTAGCTGCACGGCCATGCGTAGCTGCACGGCCATGCGTAGCTGCACGGCCATGCGTAGCTGCACGGCCATGCGTAGCTGCACGGCCATGCGTAGCTGCACGGCCATGCGTAGCTGCACGGCCATGCGTAGCTGCACGGCCATGCGTAGCTGCACGGCCATGCGTAGCTGCACGGCCATGCGTAGCTGCACGGCCATGCGTAGCTGCACGGCCATGCGTAGCTGCACGGCCATGCGTAGCTGCACGGCCATGCGTAGCTGCACGGCCATGCGTAGCTGCACGGCCATGCGTAGCTGCACGGCCATGCGTAGCTGCACGGCCATGCGTAGCTGCACGGCCATGCGTAGCTGCACGGCCATGCGTAGCTGCACGGCCATGCGTAGCTGCACGGCCATGCGTAGCTGCACGGCCATGCGTAGCTGCACGGCCATGCGTAGCTGCACGGCCATGCGTAGCTGCACGGCCATGCGTAGCTGCACGGCCATGCGTAGCTGCACGGCCATGCGTAGCTGCACGGCCATGCGTAGCTGCACGGCCATGCGTAGCTGCACGGCCACGAGAAAGCATGCATGGCATGGCCATCCCAAACTACTGTGTCACAGAGGGGCTCAGCTCAAAGGCCTGAAGCAGTGTCCTCCACAGCGCTGCCATACTCCTGGATCTTGGTGTGGGCGAGTGCAGGGTAACCAACCCCAACTAGTGTGTGACAGAAGGGTTACTAAACCCCGAAAATCACCTTGACATAGGAGGGGTTGAGCTCAATGGCCTTGGCCGCATCCTCCACAGCGCTGCCATACTCCTCGATCTTGGTGTGGGCGAATGCGCGGTTGGCCCAGAGAATGGCGTTGGACTCATTCAGTTGGATGGCATCGCTGTACAGATCAACGGCTCGCAGGAACTTGTGCTCTGACGGCAAAAGGGGAGAGGGGGGGAAGAAAGAGGGAAAGGTTTCGGGGAGAGGGAGGAGGAGAGGGGGGGTGGAATGGCGTTGGTGGCGTTCAGTTGGAGAGCATCGCTGTACAGATCAACGGCTCGCAGGAACCTGTGCTCTGATGGAGAGAAAGGGGGGGGAAGGGAAGGGGGAGTCCGGTGGGTGATTGAAGGAGGAAACGGAGAGAGCGGTTGGCCCAGCCAGCGGATGGCGTTGAACCCGTTGAGCTGGATGGCCTCGCTGTAGAGGTCAACGAGGTCAACGAAGTCAACGAGGTCAACGAGGTCAACGAGGGAAAAATGGGGTGGAAAGGAAATGCATGATTGCGATTGATCAGCAGATTGGGTTCCATATGACCCTTGCGAGAAACCGTCCCGACCATTCGCGAGTCGTCGTGACGGACGGACTGAATTCGTCGCTCGCACTTATCTGTCGCTCGGACCCGAATCGAATCTTACCAAGACAAGCAACGGAGATGACCAACCAGAATCCGACGCCTTACTGTCTGCTGGTGAGTCTGTTTGGATCCGCGTCTAAGGCACTTATTACGAGTAAGCCTGGTTTTTACTACGCTATTGTAAGCGACCTCAGACAATGCCCTTAAAATCAACCACTAACAGATGAACCTTCCCGAGTCAACACCTTCTGGCCCCATTGCGACGGGCCGCACACTCTTTGCGAAACATCTGCGATTGTTCGACAGAAGCGATCGCACGGAACGGTCGTTACTCCTTGCGTGCGAAGAGGCGTGAGACTGCGCGACGGAAGCGATCACAGGGTGAACTGGACTGGATTCACTGACTGCCTTGTGCTGAACACGAGGCATTGCGAGAAGCTCTTACCTTGAAAGGCCCGATTAGCTGCTTCCTTAATCTCCTCGGATCGTTTCACGTCCAAGGACGAGTCGACAGCCGCCATGATGGCCAAGATAATTGTGATTGTTGCAAAGGAAGGTTGTTCTACTATTTTATTTTTTCTAAATAGATTATTTACGTTGAATCCCGCATTCATGGGTGTTTGGTCTAGTGGCATGATTCTCGCCTAGGGTGCGAGAGGTCCTGAGTTCAATTCTCGGAACACCTCTACAATTATTGTTTTGGCATCCTTTTTCCTCTCTACCCGCTGCCACATTCAACGTTTTGTTCTAGTAAAATGCCATGTTCTCTACAATGGCAGCCATACTCAGTCCTCTTGTTCATTCCCAAACATAGCCAAAAATCATCCCCAAACATAGCCAATAAGCACCCCAATACGATGTGGTGGCGAGTTCGGTAACGGGCATCCCTTGTTTGGGCGGCACAAGGCTTTCTGCCATTCGATCTCGTCCAGTCCTTTTCCAGCCATGTTGGTGCAAGAAGCATTAAAGCTTCGCAAGGAGACACGAGAGAAGGGAAAGTGGGGCTAGGAATCACCCACTGAATGGGGGTGGGGACGACGAAACCTGGGGAACAGCTGAAGGAGATTGAGGCACTGTCGACAACTGGGGCACAGGCGATACAACTGGTTGGAGCGCATGGAGCTCATCTGATCGCCGAGGAGAACAAGAGGGGGGAGAGGAAATAACAACTATTGTTCTCATCGGCCGACCAAAAAACTTCCGTCATTCACGACTCCCTGCGAACCTCATCGAGGTTACCAGAGCACTTACGTCGATTTGGGCAACAAGCCACCAAATCCACGACGCGACGCATTCAGACTCTGCCCCGAACAAAAAGACCCACTAGGAGGCAACATCGAAGGCCCCAAGACTCCTCTCTCCATAATCCCCGACTGCAACTTTCTAGCGCTCGCACTATCAACCCTGCCAACAGAAGCACAGACAAAAGTAGAAGCAGCAACTGCAGACACAGAAGCAACAACAGAGGAAGCAGAAGCAACAGCAACATCACAGCCTGAACCTGGGGAAAACCCGGAAGAAGCGCACGCTCGTTACCTTTGCACGCCCAGACTCGCGCTACATATGACCTTTGGCACCAGCGTCTCAACTGCATCACCGCTGAAGTATTCGCACATGGAGCCATATTGCGACTTGACGAATCCGAACTGCACAGCACCAGACTGTCAAATTACATTGCATATCTTGCTGTAGGCTGTAGTGGGGTAGCCCTTATAGGGTACAACCCTTGTTAGGGTTAGTACTTGTATCTGGCTCTTTCCTAGTTTATTCATTCCGCTGTATTGATTCTGACATGGTTTCAGAGTAGGTCCTGATCCAGGACCGTTTTTTTTAGGGCCCACCGTCACTCCTACCACAGGAGCTACTGCCGTCGCGCGCTGCCCTGCTCGCCGTGCGCGTTCCTTGCCCTACCCTGCCCCGCGCGGTCGCGCTGCTCCGCGCTGCCCCGCGCTGCCCTGCTGCCGCGCGTGCTGCGCTGCTGCTCGCGCAGCCCCACTGCGGGCTGCCCTGCTGCTGCGCGTGCTGCGCTGCTGCCCGCGCTGCCCTGCTCGCCGCGCGCGTGCCCTGCCCTTCCCAGCGCTATCGCGCTGACCTGCCCCGCATGCCTCGCACGCCCTGTTGCCATGCGCGCACCGCGCGACCTGCTGCCCTCGTGCCCCGCACGCCCTGCTCCCCGGCGCCCGTGCGCGCCCTGCTGCCCCGTACCCGTGCGCGCCCCGCTGCCCAGCGCCAGCACGTGCCCCACTGCCCAGCATTAGCGTGCGCCCTGCTGCCCAGCACCAGCGTGCGCCCCGCTGCCCAACGCCCGCGCGTGCCCCGCTGCTCCGTGCCCGCGCGAACCCCGCTGCCCAGCGCCCGTGCGCGCCCTGCTGCCCCGTACCCGCGCGTGTCCCGCTGCCCAGCGCCCGCGCGCGCCTTGCTGCCCAACGCCAGCGCGCGCCCCGCTGCCCAGCGCCCGCGCGTGCCCCGCTGCCCTGTGCCCGTGCGCGCCCCACTGCCCAGCGCCCGCGCGCCCCTGCCATGCCCTGCTAACGCTGCCCGCGCCTGCCCTGCCCGCACGCAAGTGCCGTTGCTGTAGTTGTCGCCCGCTGCTGCAGCTCCCGCCCACACGTCGCCCTGCACCTTGCGCTGCCCGCGCGCGACTGCTCTGCCCTGCCTTGAGCGCATGCCCTGCCTGCATGCTTGCCCTAACCACAGCGCGCTCTGCCCCGCCCTAGGTGCTGCCGCCCTAGGTGCTACCGCCTGCTGCTGCCCTAGGTGCTCCCGCCTGCTGCTGCCACCCTAAGTGTTGCCACTGCCGCCCTAGGCACTGCCGTGTTGCCGCCCTAGGTGCTGCTGCTGCCGCCCTAGGTGCTGCCGCCTGTTGCTGCTCTGGGTGCTGTCCCCCCTAGGTGCTACCGCCTGCTCCTGCCGCCCTAGGTGCTGCTGCCACCCGCGTGCGCTGCTCTGCGTTGCCCTGTCCCGCGCTAGCACCGCCTTGCCCCGAGCGTTGCTACTGCTACAACCGCCGCGACTACCGCCTTTGCTGCTGCTGCTACTCCAACTGCCCTTGCTACTGCTACTGCTGCCGTTACTACTGCTATGTCGACTCCCACGGTGCTAGCCTTAGACGCAGAGGGGCGCTCGCTTGGGTTTGAGTCCTGGCTAGAGGACTTTCACTAGTACCTCCAGAGTGTCACTCGGGACAACGCCTCCCTATTCGAGCACACGTCAGGGTCCCTTTCGGCCCAGGAGGCTCCTGTTGTGCCTGCTGCTGACGCTCGGGAGGAGGTGCGGACGCAGTACCGCGCAGACAACGCTGCCTACAAGCAGTGCATGGCGCGCGACGCCGCCGCCAAACTTGTAGTATACGCTCACGTCTCGCTCGACCAGAGAGCCCACTTTCGCCAGGTGCCGTTGGCCCATGCTTTCTATACTGCTGTGGTTAGGCGCTACTCACCCCCCCTTCCTGCCACCCTAGGCTGTCTTGCGCTGCTTGCCTTCCCTGCGATGTCAGACCTTGCCATTGTAGCTGACGAGGGTGGTCGTAGTGGAGCTGGCGGGAGTGGCGAGGGCGGGCAGCAGGAGTTAGAGCCTTCGTGTGTCGCTCCTTGTGCGCCTACTGGCACAGGTACGGTTCCTGCGGAGGCGTTGCTCTCGGTCCCTGTTACTCTGGCCGACCCCACCTTTGGACCAGTCTATGCGCACCCCTCCACTGTTCTCTCGTATCTCGTAGTCCCCTCTGACTCCTCTGGCTCGACCGAGGGGGGTGACCCTGCTGCTGCCGACATAGCGACCTCTCGCCGCTCACTGCGCTTAGAGACACCTCCAGGTTTTCCGCCTCGGGCGTCTTCGCCTCCTCTGCAACCTGTCGCTGTGGACTTCGGGGGCCCAGGTGTTGTTGGGGGTGGTGACGCTGGGGGTTCTCGTTCTGGGGGTGCTGGTTCAGGGGGTGCTGGTTCTGGGGGTGCTGACTCTGGAGGTGCTAGGAGTCCTCTTGTTGGTGGAGTTGGAGGTACTGGCGCTGGAGGTGCTGGGTCTGGGGGTGCGTTCCAGTCGCTGCCGCGGCGGACTATCTTCTTTGAGCAGCCGTCGTCGTCGCTACCTAAGCCGACGCCCACTTGTACTACTTCTCCTCTGTTGTTTCCGGCGCCTGACTCCCCACTGCCTGCTCCTGCTCGATACTCCCCGTTGCCCGTCTCCCTGACTGGGCGTCGGGTGCCTGTGTCTTGTGCCGCCTCCCCTGCTACCTCTCGTGTTACTTGGGAGCCTGTTGTCCTGCCGTTACATCCCCCGTCTTCTCTTCCTGCCGTTCCTGACCCTGTGTCTAACCTTGCTCGTGTTGCTAGCCCGACTGTCCCGCGTTGTCTAGCCGCGCTTGTGACTGCACATGCTTCTTCGACTGCTGCTGCTTCTGCCTTAGTAGCTGAGCTCGCTGGCTTTGCCGCTACTCGCCGCCGTGCCTACCTTGAGGGTCTCGTTTCTTCCTCTTCGTGTCCTCCGTCCGTCGAGGGTGACCTTGCCCTTGGCTGTGATGTCCTTGAGGACAGACAGTTCGAGCTGGAGTACCTGCCGTACCCTCTCCGCATCCGGACTCACTATGTTGCGCCCGAAGAGACACCACCCTGCGCATTCGCGGGCTGCTAGGAGGGTGCTGTGCTACTTGGTCAGACTCGCGAGCAGAATGTAGCACTTGGCACTTCGTTCCTTTGCCGTACGAGTGTTGAAGCAGCGTTCCCATCCTCGCCTTTCGTATGTGGCCACACGGGCCAGCACTGCTGATGTCTTCACCAAGGCCCTAGGGTCTGGTGATCATCAGCGTTTCTGCACTGCTTTTGGGCTTGTGCCCACTCTGCCTCACCTGCTTGTCTCTTGATCTTGTCTTGTACTTTGATATATAAACCTGCATGTTTCTTGTTGCTAGGTTGTTTCATTGTACTACTTGCTCTATTATAAAACTGCATGTGAACTCGCCTCGTGGTCGCTTGCTTGTGCTCGGAATGTGTGGTGTCCTTGAGATCCACCCTGAGCTTTGTTTTTCTCTTGACTGGTCTTGTGACCGCTTGTTATGTTTGCTATCCTCCACTTCGCCTATGGGGGAGTGTCAAATTACATTGCATATCTTGCTGTAGACTGTAGTGGGGTAGCCCTTATAGGGAACAACCCTTGTTAGGCTAATACTTGTATCTCACTCTTGCCTAGTTCATTCATTCCGCTGTATTGATTTTGACACAGACTACCACATGCTTGCACCGTCTGTCCTACTGCGCCCTGGCGCATCAGCCTTACCCCTCACTCGGTATGAGAAGATGCACAAAGTATACAGCGACAAAATTGTCGTCGGCTATGGCGGCATCAACGACGAATGCTACACTCTCACCTTCGTAGAGGCGAGCACGCGCCATGTCTGGGTGACGAATGTGCATAACCATAGCAAAGCTTGCGAGGTGTTCCGCATCTGGCTAGTGTACGCGCAACCGTAGTCATGTAAGAAACTCCAAATCTGGCAGAATCATTTGCACGCGCGACGATGACGACGACAACGCACATGGACCGTCAAAGCGCTGAGACCCACGCGACTCTGTCATGTGCAACATCTGCGCCGACACCTACGACGACAGTGCAGTTTTTTGCAAACACTCATATATAGCCTGATCGTTTATAGAGTGGGTGAGAGAACGGACGTGAAATATATATAAGACAGATAAGAACTCAAATGCATCCTGACCCGACAAGTGGCTGGAATATATATACAGTCACGATGTGCACCGTCAAATCGCATAGGCAATAAAAAAACCAATCGTGTACATCGATGCGACACTACTGGCCGCCTTCATGGAGACCACAAGACCGGAGAAGCTGCACGGACGACAGTGGTGGAACACAGAAGAAAAAAAACCCAGTTTCTACCGTACGTGATTCACTTCGACAAAAGCCATGTTCGATGTAGCCTATGTAGTGATTCTCGTACTAGCATAGTAAAGTTTTGACGCCTTTACTATCTGTCCATTAACATAAATGCTAGAAATATGTTACGTATATGAATGCTTTTTTTGTTTATGTAGATCAATGTGGATAAGATGAACTAATATAACTTCATTGTCACATGATAACTGATATATACTATATATTTATATTCCAATGGCAGTGATAGAAGTTTGTTTTTTGATCATGCTGATCCTGTTCTTGTAGAATTATACAAATTGATATTAGCTAAATCTAGAGCCATACTCTAGTAAAATTCCTCCTAGAAAATTTATGACCTTCACTAACCTAAATGGATAGAAGTAATGGGACATATATTTTTTGCCCTACGTACTGTCAGCCAATCAAGACTGAGGCTCGGCTTGTGTCAGGGGTCAGCCACGAAGATTGGTCCGGGACGGGCTCATCTTCCTCCAAACCGCCAAACTCCCAAACTCATTCCAAGATCTGTTAGTGGCTTCAGCGGGAAAGCCTCCATTTGCGTAGTTGGACTGGTTTGGCTCCCTTCACCGTCCGTTTACCAATCACGTGCCTCTTGGCAGTCTGCTTTCTGGTTTGTGGGCGCGGAGCTGACCTGGCCTCCAAGAAACTCTTCCGCAACCCTCCCAATTGTCTTTCCGTATATATGGAAAGAATTTGCTTCGGGAATTCCGAGCTTACTTCCCGCCAATGCACAAAAAAGAATTCCTACAAATTCCCGCCAAAGCAGCATCAACACACCTCTCGATGCTCCCAAGGAAACTCAAAACAGCTCAAGCATTTCCCAATGCCGGCAGTTCGTAAATAGAGCGATCCGGTCAACCAAGTTGGTGCATGTAAATTGGAGCTAGCTTCGGCATGAGGACCGCAGCAGCGACAGTTAGATGGCTTCAACGCACGTTAAGCGGTCGGAAGAAAACTTCTGCTCGAGACTTAAAAAACCTCAGTTTAAGCGTCCGTGTCACGGCTCCGGAATCCAAACGAAGACCCTTGCGTCTGATCACTGTGTACGTCCTTGGACTGCTTTTTACGGCTCTGATCGTCATTCCCGATGCGAATCAACGGCTAATGAGCATCAAGAGCTCCTCCTCAGTTGAATCAGACGAGAAGTTTCCGGGATCCCGACATTTGTCCATTTCTGATGTTGGATTGAAAGAGGAACCTGCGAGCAGAAGGAAGAGCAAGGAGACCAAGGAGATTAAGGATACTTCACGGGGTGAGACGGAGGAGCAGGATGAAAACGACATTGCGGACGATTTCGTCGCTTTGTCTGCACGGAGGACGACACCTCGCGGACGAGTGAAGACTCCTGAGAAAGGCAGGCTTGCGACCTCTGATCAGGAGAATGGCGGACAAGATGCAAGCGGTCAGCAAGGAAGTCAAGGTGATGGAGCGGAGAATGCAGAGGACAAAATGGCAGGATTGGCAGCAGATGTCGCGGCTTCGGAAGGTGCTTCAGCTGCAGAAGAGGAATCTGATGCTGTCTCGGACTTCCCTGAAGCAAGCGAAGAGGAAGGTGAGCTTTTGTGCATGGAGAATAAAGATGCCATAATCTGAAACACCCTCCCAACAAGGACCATGCACTCTGGTGACCAGTTTGCATATCCTCCCCGATGGAGAATGGAAGCATGGAAGAATGGAAGCAATGTGTGTTATTTGGATCGCGTGAGCATTAGTGAGTCAGTCCTTGCTGGATACTTGACGCGGTTCTCTCCCTTCACAACCACACCATCCCCTCCTCCTCTTGTTCCACCTTCCTCCACTCTATCCCCTTCCACCCCCCCGTCTCTCCACCCTCTCCTCACTGTCTATTTCCTTCCCGTGCTTAAGATAATCTCCACCCTGTCTCTTTTCCCCCATGCCATTCCCCTTTGAGCAATTCTCAAGCAGTAGCCAGGGCCAAACCTGTGGTCCTTGCATCCCCGCCTCCCCAACCTAAGCCCCCGCCAAAGAAGCCTCCACGGCCTCCTCCAAATCCGAATGATTATCTCCTCAAATTTAAGCCCATCACGCCCACTCCTCCCAAGACCTGGCCTGACAATATCATTCTAACTCTAGCCACAGGGGAAGCCTCCAAAAACCTAACAGTGCTGCTCCAGTCGTTTAAACGGTTTGTGGAGCATGGAGGGCGAGCGTGGTTGATTTTGTTCTTTGATCGCGTGCCTCTGTGGTGGTGGCCAATGACTGCTGAGCAGAGAAAAGGGATCTATATGCAACAGTATGAAGCTCCCCGAGCAGGTGAGAGGGGAAAACACTATAATGCCAGATATTATGATGCTAATGTTGCGAGCATGGATTCGCCCAGATTTGTTTCTGAAGCTTTGTATTCGGTTTTCCTTAAACCTTTCTCTCCAGGAAATTGGAGTCATGCTCCTGCCACCAACATCCGGTATCTCGTGTTTAAGAAGTTCCTGCATGAATTGGGCTCATCATTTGAAGGGAATGTGGCCCTTTCTGATGCTCATGATATACTCTTCCTTCGCGACCCTTTTCCTGCAAAGGAGTCAAAGGACATGTTTCTGCGCTTTATCACAGTAAGTTGTTTCCGTTTTCAAGTTCTGCTCTAGACGTCGCTTGGTTGACCATCATACTCTCTTCCACCTTTCTATCCACTGCAGGAAGCTTCTCAATACCCTCGGCATGGGACTAAGGCATTATCATTGCAACACAAGCAATTATTGTCCTGCTTTTCACGGAAGGAGGCTTTCTCACTTGGAGGAATGCGTGTTATCAACCCTGGCTTCATTTATGGCCCGGCCTCACACATGCGACAGCTGCTGACACTGATTGTGGCAATCTTTCAGCAGGGTCCAAGAGTGTGCATGCGGTGGGAAACGAGTGATCAAGCAGTCATCAACCAGCTAGTAAGAGCAGGTAAGTTCCTCATGAACCATGTGCCAGACAACTCGTGTTGTTTTAAATGATTGCAGCTACTAATGGCAGGGCTCTCTGATGCTGCAGGGATGTTCAAGAGCATGCCACAAATTAAGGTGCAAGACATGGAGCGTGCAAGTGTCCTTCATCGGTTCGGTCCAGATGATAAATACATTATCGGAGACCACAAGAAGCTGCTTAATGAACATGGGGGCACATTGTCAGTCTTACATGGTTTCGACCGTTTTCCAGATACGAGAGTTCTGGCCAGTAGAGTGCTGTCTGGTAAACTCTGAATGGAAAATCATTGGCATTTGTGGTTTCCTTTCCAGTAACTTCCTATGTGGTTTGCAAGGCAGTATGGTACAGTGTAAGCCATTCACGTATTATTACCCACAGCACCCTGACTTTGCTGCATTTCCATCCCCAACCACGATTGATGTGCCCTCTCCAGGCCCAGCAGGGCCAGAGTCTTCTTGGCCGAGGGCCTTCTTGCTCGCAATGCGATAAATTTCAGTCAATATTTTATGAAATGCGTTTTCCACATTCGTTGACTCCAATGCAGATGTCTCAATAAAAGAAAGGCCTTCTTTCTCTGCAACAAACGTTGAAGTCAGTACTTTCTACAGGCGGTAAATGCAGCTACATCAGAAGCAAGAGGAAGAACAGCAAATTTACCTGCAAAAGACTGCGCGTCTTCTGTAGCAACCGCTCTGAGGTGCCTCAGGTCAGACTTGTTGCCAACAAGGGTAATCACAATGTTTGCGTCTGCATGGTCTCGTAATTCCTTCAGCCACCTTTCCACGTTCTCGTACGTCACAGGTTTAGTAATGTCATAGACAAGCAGGCAACCCACAGCTCCTCTGTAATACGCGCTTGTGATGGCGCGATATCTTTCTTGACCTGCCGTATCCCAGATCTGCGCCTTGATTGTCTTCCCATCAACCTGGGAGAACAAGCCTTTTAGAAGCATATAATTGAGAATGCCGTGATTAACAATGTCGTAAGAACTTCGCGTACCTGAATGCTTCGTGTTGCAAACTCAACTCCAATAGTCGATTTCGACTCCAAGCAAAACTCGTTGCGGGTAAATCTAGACAGCAGATTAGACTTCCCCACTCCAGAATCTCCTATTAGGACGACTTTAAATAAGTAATCGTATTCGTCATCCGGTTTATGAGCCATTTTCGCCTAGTCTGCGCCGGAGCGTGTGTGGAAAAGCGGAGGCTATCTGGAAGATCAAACACACCAATGCAGCTTTAGCGCCACATGGAAGTATCCCTTTCCTACAGTCTCGATTTCTTAGTAATAGTAGAGCATCTAGCTCCTGGATGCATGGAATGTTAGGTCATCACCTAGCTAAGGTAGGCCGAATCCAGCTTATTTTTCAGACTGAAACGGGCTTGAGCTGGTGTGAAAGTATTGCGTGAAGCACTAGAGTAATTTGCGTGTGAAGCGGAGAACTGTTCAATTACATCAACGAGGCTTTTCGTAGAAGCACAAAATCAAGTGCAAGACTGACAATTTCCGTTCCTTTTACGGCTGCTGACTGCTTTTCTGTCCGTTGACTGCTTGCTGATGACAAACAGGTGGTGAAAAGCAAACCCGAGGGGGTTCTGGCGCCACCCAGCCCAAAAATGACAAACCGGGTCGCATGTTGATTCAACCACCTGACCCATATGTCCCGAATTCACACGGGCAGAGATAATCCTGTATTTGATTGGCTCATTTCTCCGCAAAACAGCCCGTGAAAGCCCGTGGATAGTTGAAATGTGCGATGCGGCGAAAACATCAAGAGGAAATATCGACGAAAACCATGCGACGCAAAATTAAGCTCAGTTCAGCCAGCCAAGGAACGAGCCATTCCCAAGAAACCAAATCCAGGAGCCCAGCAACGCAAAAGACCCATCAAGCAAGCGCGCGTGTCGGTTGCACCTTCTGACGCTACCGTTGGCGCCCTGCCTGATTGTTGATCCTCCTATTCAGCTCACTCTCTACCGTCAGTATTTCTAACATTTTATTCGTTCCTGCCGTATTCCTCGCGCCCTTTCGCTTCTTCCCATCAAGCACGCATCTCTCGCCGTGAGCTTGCACGCAGCAAAGGCAACCAGCTAGAACTGCCTTTCCCATATCATCTTGTCCTAGTACATTTCCGGACCAGTTGTTCCCAGCGTCCTTGCACATCCACCTTCCTGAATATGTCGGTAGATTACGCGAGTGTCACCTCGCGTCCAGGTTTTGACTGGAAGCTTGACCCATTGTGTATCTATCCACGCTGGACTATGAACCCCCTCGCATCGTTGGCAGCTTCATAACACCTCACTCAGCCCCGACGATTTGCTTCCGATCGACATTTCTTCCGTTTCCTGTATCTAATTTCAAGGATGTCGATCGAGGAACGGTCCTATTCCCTCTCAAGTTAGCAATTCCGCGATGGTATCTGTACCCGTGCAACCAAGTAGAGGAAAATGGTAGAGTCCTTAGCCATCTTGTAGCCCAACACCGCGACTATCTCGCTAACGAGCACTACCGTCATCAATCAACGCAGTTTTTTTCTCATAATTCCTGCATAGTTTTTCCACGTCGGGATAGAGCTTCGGTCCGAGTCTCAGATGAATCCCCGTCTCTCGGTTTCGACCTGCGATAGATGACAGCCTCTGCCCCGTGATGGCACGTCGAGCGTTTCGTCTTTCCAGCAAAGTAGTCACTGCACTCGCCGTGCTCATCCTCCTCTCCACCTCCACCATCATAAGCGCGTCGTCATCAAATGTCTCGACACCTGCATCTACCGACGCACTCGGATCGGATAGGCTCTCTTGCGGAGAAGGCTCGTTACTGAAGACAGTTCACGATGTGGAGCAGGACCAATTTCACAATGGAGCTACTTCCTTCAGACCGGAATATGTGCTTCCTTTCGCCGCTGTGACAAGAAGAGCGGAGGACGCGAACGAAGCAGGCAAGCAGCAGCAGATGGTAGTACGGCCAACGACTGGGAATGGATCGAAACGCCTCACCCGGAGACTGACTGAGTTAGCTCGCGCCTCGTTCGCTGTCCTCCGTCGCAGACTGCAGCTGATTCAAGCCAGCCCGCTCATGGTTCAGGCGTCAACTCGCTCCGTCACTAACTCTTCTGCGTCTGAGGCCACCGCCTCCGTCTCGCCGCCCCTTCCTCTCCTCGCCACCTCCGCGAGCGCGTTCAAAACGACCAAGTCTCCCCTGAAGCAACCTCCACGGCCGGCCGCTCTCAAACCTACCGCCCCTCTTCCTCCTTCTCTTCCTCCTGCACCTGCGTCCCCTGTGAAGCAAGGAACCAACGACACGGCTGCAAGCGGTGCAGGATCAAAGGATGGGGGCGATGGGGATGCTGGCAGTGCTGCTGGGGTTAGCGGCGGGGGAAATGGCACTAGCGTGCCTAATGTGACCAGCAGCCCGCCGAAACCGCTCAAGTCTCCGCCTAAGTCTTCCAAGAGTCCGCATAAGCCGGCCAAGACGCCCAAGCCGCGGAAATCCCCCAAGCATCCCCCGACCTCCAAGTCCCCCAAGTCTCCCACCAAGCCTTCCGCCAGTACGCCATCCCCGCCTGCTGTTGTCGCTGCCGCTCCGCCTGACCCCCCCAAATCACCCACACCCTCCAGCCCACCTCCTTCCAAGCCTTCTCCTAACATCAAACCGCCTAAGAGCCCTCCTCCCCCGACTATTTCTCCACCATCCCTCCCCCCGCCTAAGCCCCAGAAATCTCCTCCTCCCCCAACCCTCTCACCATCTCCACCCCTGAATAAGACCCAATCCCCTCCCAAATCCTCACCCCCTCCCAAATCCTCACCCCCTCCCAAATCCTCTCCCCCTCCCAAATCCCCGCCCCCTCCGAAATCCTTGCCCCCTCCTAAATCCTCACCTCCTCCCAAATCCCCGCCCCCTCCCAAGTCTCCGCCCCCTCCCAAGTCTCCGCCCCCTCCCAAATCCCCGCCCCCTTCCCCCACGCCTGCACCATCTCCTCCTCCTAAACCAATTAAGTCCCCCCCTCCTATCAAACCCTCCCAACCTGGTAGCTCCCCTCCGCGCTCCCCTCCGCCCCCATCCTCCAAGCCCAACCCCGGACAAAAACCCCCTCCTCCCCCGCCTAAGGGGGGGGGAGGGGTTGCGCCAGGGGGGGATGGGGAGGAAGAGGCGGATGGGGAAGGGGAAGGGGAATGGTACGAGCTGCCTCCTAACGTGCCGTCGTCCAGTAAGCCAGTACCACCTGGCACGGGTGGCGTGTATGACGTCAGGAGCTTTGGAGCCAAGGGGGACGGGAAGAGCAACGACGGGAAGGCACTAGAGGCAGCATTCGCCGCTGCTTGTGCTGCCTCCATCAACAGCAGCACGGCGACTGGAGCAGCAGGAGGAGGAGGAACAGGAGGGGATACAGGCCAGGGTGTGCCAACAGTGCTGATTCCGGGTAAATACACCTTCCACATCATGGGTGTTTCCTTCCTTGGCCCCTGCGGGCCTGCAGGCGTGAACGTGCAGCTGGATGGGAACATCACCGTGCCTCAGAACCCCAAGGTCTACACCGTTCCCAAGAACGGCCCGTTCACGATTCTCTACTTTAAGGGGATCACAGGGCTGAAGGTGTATGGGAGTGGCGTGGTGGACGGGCGAGGGCAGCTGTTTTGGGAGCAGAAGGGGAAGGGCGATCGGCCCATGCTGCTCTACTTCTTCCGGTGCAATCAGACTATTCTCAGTGGCATCACGCTTAGGTAAGTGTTCGTGAATGTTGAGTTGATTCATGAGACTGTGCTCGGTGGCATCACTTTCAAGTCTAGAACGTGGATGCAAGATCTCTATCACTCATATTTGAACCCATGCCATCTCTCCTCCCCTTCTCCCTCACGCCAGGAACGCTGCTTTCTTCCACGTGCAAGTGTTCCGGTGCACCAACATGCGCATCTTTGACTTCCGCAAGGACTCAGATGCGGGAATCCCCACTCACTCCTACTCAACACTCCCAAAGCACACCAACTCTCCCCTCCCCTTCTCCCACTCCACAGGAACGCGGCGTTCTTCCACGTGCAAGTGTTCCGGTGTGCCAACATGCGCATATTTGACTTCCGCACGGACTCACCAGCAGAGAGCATCAACACGGACGGCATCCACATCTCCTCCTCCTTCAACATCGACATCCGACGGTGCACGCTCGCCGGGGGGGATGACAACGTGTCCATGTGGGACGGTGCTGTCGGCGTTACTATATCGAATGTCACGTGCCTCACGGGCCATGGCATCTCGTAAGTGGGTTGACATAAGGGAATGTTACACGCAATGAACAGTGTGCAACTCATGTCAAAGGGTTGCTCTCTCGCGCGCATCAACGCTTGTATGCTTAATTCTTTCTTCACCTCCCTCATTCCCTCTTACCCTTTTCCCTCTCCCCCTTGACTCATGCCAGCATCGGAGCACTAGGGAGCGGCACCGTGTATCCGGTGTCGTGCGTGTCGGACATATCAGTGAGGGACGTGCGATTCATCAACACCAAGATAGGCCTGCGCATCAAGACGTTCCAAGGAGGATCCGGGAAGGCCACCAACATCATTTATGACGGCATCTCCATGGAGAACGTGCGGTATCCAATCGTCCTAGATCAGGTGGGTTGTGCAATCCATGAAGCAGCACACTCTTTCCTGCCACCCCTGCCAAGATTGCAGAGAATATGTTTTGCCAAGATATCGTTCAATCCCCCCTCCTCTCTTCACTCCCTCCATCGTGTTACAAGCTTTTAAACAAACATGTTGACGGCATCTCCTGCCAGTCTCTTTTTGGAACTTCTTCATCATGCTTGGCTCACCTGCTTGTCTTGTCCTGCCCCTCTGCGTTCGCCCACTTTCCCTCTCAGTTCTACTGTGGAGGCAGCCTCTACTGTTACAGCGACGTCAAGACTAGCAACGTTGCCATTTCTAACGTAACATACTCTAACATCCAGGGCACGACTTTTGGTCCTGAAGGGATTATCTTCAGGTGCAGCCGTACCGTTCCCTGCACTGACATATTTATGGACAGTGTTAACATAACTTCCCCTAACCCTGGTGCCTTGTTCCCGACATCCCTTCATGTCTATGGCACTGGTGGGCTGCACCAGTCAATGCCACCCATGGTAATGGGACCTCTCCCTGGGATAACCGAGATAGCAAGAATACAGCGCCAAGTGGCTTCATGTGTAGGTGTGACTGACTGGTAGTACTCTACCGGCCTGCATCCAGCATTTAATGGCTGGCTGATAGTTCGGTATCACAATCCATATGATTGTACCAAATAATTTGTGATGCTTTGCATTATGTATAATAGATAACAAAGAAAATATAAACACTAGATATGCCAAGTCATGTGCGTTTCCAGACATGGTTGTTCCTGAACTGATCCCAGTAAGGTTTTCCTTCCAGATTTAAAATGTGCAGATATTGATTGTTGTACATGCTTCCTAGTGATTCTTAAGTAGCTGATATGTTTAAGCAGCACTGCGAATCACTGTTTCTATGAAACTTCAAACTGTACTGCCTTCATATCGAAGTTTACGGCGCCTACTCGCTGTTATCTCCATCACAGCGAGCGGCTTGACGCCTAGGGTTTGGTATTTCAACTCACCATTTTTCTCCAATTCAAACCACAGCAACCTCGGATTTTCCCTCCGCCGTTATTTCCATCCAGCTGCTGGTTTCTGCAAGTCTGCTCCTCCCAGCACCAAGTCTCGGGTTGCTCCATCCAGGAGACGGCTGCTCGACTGGATCTGCGCCAACCTGGCATCGCAGCAAGACTCGCCTGCTTTGGAAGCTCGTGGGACGCGTCTGCTCTTACTCTGTCTGCTTTATGGTCACTTGAAGACTGCGATTTTGCTCGGTTACTGGGCCGTGGCTTCTCACGGCACCACGCGGCTTCAGATCGATGACTTCAAGAGCACAAGTTGGTTCTTCCTGTTAAGGAAGAAAGCTTGGCTTTAACATGTATGTTTACCTCGATGCCATAATTCCTGTTTTTCCGTGTCTTCGTTTCTGTGTTCTCTTTGTTGTTTTTCCGTTTCATAAAGCTTGGCTTTAACATGTATGTGTACCTCGATGCCATAATTCCTGTTTTTCCGTGTCTTCGTTTCTGTGTTCTCTTTGTTGTTTTTCCGTTTCATAATCTTCATCATCGGCGTCTGTGTTTTCTGCTATGTGTTACAGAGAAGATGACACCAGCCGCCGTTAATCCGCATCGAAAAAACGACCACGTTTTTTCACAGGGAGACCGCGCTAAGAAGAGGCGGCTACCAAGCGGTCACGCGTACGAAGCAGTTCCGTTGGATCCTGACGTCTTCGAGCACGACGGCGAGATCATGTACGAATCGGACGGCAAGAAGCGAAAGATTTCCGCGGCGAACGGCGGAAAACGAGAGGAGTCTGACGTTTCTAAGATGGACGGCGACTTCACGGGTCCCAACGAAATCGGTCGGAAGCGCAAGGCTTTGACAGAAATCATACACCGTGAAGATCCAGGGGGCGTTTCAGAAGCCGTTCGTGGGGTTCTTTCTAGGAGCGAGAGGAGATCTCTTAGGCGGGAGATTAGAACGGATTTGAATACGGTGCTGGCTCTAGGTCGGAGAGTAGACGCTCGCGAGATTAGATTGATGCAGGAGCCGCAGGTTATTCTTAGTGACTCGCTTGGGGACCGGAGGGTTCGCAGATCGGAAAACGGCGGAGCCACGGAGCTGTCGTCCGCAGGGCAACCGCTTGATGGGGGCTTGGGGGAAACAGCACAGAGCGGAGGCCCGTTGACGGTGGGAGTGGCGCAGCAACTCCACCAGCACCACCGAAGGAGAGGGGCTGCTGGCGGGGAGAGAACACCAGGCGGGAAGGAGAAGCGGACTCCGAAGGCGAATACAACGTACATACACCCCGACTTCCTGTCCGCGGCTGATAAGCTCCCGCCGCCGGAGAAGGGGAAGTCGAAGTCGTCTAGTCAGAAGAAGGGCGGGGGAAAAGGGGTAGAGCAGAAAGATCCGCGTAGGCAGAAGGTCGAGTCCGCACGGGCGAGGCGCATGGCGGATGCGTTCCGCATGTGCGGTGCGCTGCTTAAGCGAGTTATGTCGCACAGGTTCTCGTGGGTTTTCAATGTTCCTGTAGACGCGGAGAAGCTCAAGTTGCACGATTACCACACGGTTATCAAGAATCCTATGGATCTGGGCACTATCAACACGAGATTGAAGGCGTCGGGTTACCAGCATCCCGACGAGCTCCACAACGACGTGCTGCTCGTTTGGTCCAACGCCATGACTTACAACGGGGAAGGCAATGACGTGTATCACATGGCTGCGGAGCTGAAAAACATGTTCGAGCAAGGGTACCAAAAGGTTCAGCAGAAGCTGGACGAGGATGCGGTGAAGAGGCGACAGGAGGACGAGTTGCTGGCAGCGGGAGGGGGTCTACCAGATCCCAGGGACAAGTCGGAAGTGCTAGAGTTGGAGAAGAGGTTACAGAAGTTAGAGTCGCAGCTTGTGGCGAGTACTAAGGCGCAGCAGCAGCAAGGGAAAGCCAAGGCGGGTCAGGCTAAGCCGCGAGCGGCTGATACGAAGAAGAGGGACATGACGTTTGCAGAGAAGCAGAAGCTGAGTGTTAACCTGGGGAAGCTTCCTCCGGAAAAGCTAGACAGGATCGTGCAGATCATATCAGAGCGCAATCCTGATTTGAGTCAGAACGCGGATGAGATCGAGCTTGACATTGACTCGCTGGACAGTGAGACACTGTGGGAGCTGGAGAGATACGTGGCCAACTGCATGAAGAGCAAGAGCAAGCGGAAGAAACTCCCTCTTTACGATACTGTGCAACCCAAGGTGAGGAGCTTGAGTGGTGCTTGCTGGTTCATGTTTAACTCCATTGTGAGCTTTTCCGTTCCTCCTCAAACCTGGATATGCGGCCTAATCTGTTGACATTGCTTCTCTGTCCCACCTGCTACCCTGGTCAGGGCGTGGATGCGTTCCCAGCAAGCTCAGCGGGAGACCTTAAAGGTAAATTGCTGCCTCATTTTTGTTTTCATACTAGTGCTGCTCAGCGTGTTGGTGTTTGCCAAACAATATTTGTTCCTTCAGGCCAACAACATGTCCGGTGCTCACACTATCCTCTGTGGCCATACAGAAGGCGAAGACAGCATTGACATTGGGGACGAAGGGCCTTTGCCTGCACAGCCAGCAGGCCCCTCCAAGCCGGAACCATCAAGGGTGTCAGCAGGGAATGGAGCACAAGGGGGGGTTGCTGCCTCTGACTCTTCGGGCTCATCAGGCTCCAGTGATGACAGCTCCTCAAGTGGTATGTGTGATGCCCGCCTAGTTGGTACCACATGTGATTTCACTCGTCCACTGCTGCACCTGAAGCTTCTGTGCATGCTTAGTTCTCAAATGCTTAATTATCTTTTCCCGTGCGTGGTATTCTACAGAAAGCGACTCTGGGAGTGATTCTTCGAGCAGTGATTCAGACGAGATCCAGTCAAGAGATGCTGGCTCAGAGGCTTCCCCTGACAAGGTTGGTGGAGCATCTCGCTTGTAATTACTTGTGATTGGGCCAGTGATTGTGCAGTTAACACTTTTTGTGTTGTATTTTGCAGAACTGGTAGCTCTTCCCTGTTCTTGCTGGCTTTATTAACACGCGGCAGTGCCGCCTTGACAAGCGTTAGATGGATGTTTCACAATTCACAACACAAAAGGAGGGTAAGCTTCGCTGCGGTTAGTACATATTTTCAGTCGACAAAATTATCAAAGACTAATCTTTACTGCTTAGCTGGTTGCAGGTCGCCAGTGTGACTGGTCCAAACAGTGGTACATAGGCTTGATCCATGATGAGTCTGATTGTTCGAAGTAGCATATTCAATTGATTCTTAGTGTTGGCATGATGATAAATGTGTGACTTCATTTTGAACATTAGCGGAATGTAACGACATCTCACCTATCTTGATTTCTGGAACATTCTGTGACGCCATCTCCGACATCCGGAATTTCGCCATCTGGTGGTTGCTTGCATCACACGTCGCAGGGCTCCCTCTCTCCTGCTTCTCCTCCCTCTCGATTCTCGGCTCACCTCTCCCACGCACAGCAGCAACGGAGGGTTTCATTTTTTGGCCATCACTATTCGCTAGCTCCTAGGTTCCCGTCAGCCATGGAGGATTAGAACGCGCAGATCAACACGGTTTAATCTAGCGGAATATAACCCACTATTTTTGATCCTATAATTTTGTTGTTTGTGGAGCAAGCTGCATTAATTCTGCGTCAGATCTGTTTTATTTCAAGGGAGGAAGGTATATTGCACCGATGAACCGTTTTTTTGTGTCCTAGCCCATGGCTCAGCAGAATAAAGCAAGAAACAAATTAAAGCAAGAGAATAGGCATATTATAGGGTTTGGATCTTAAGGATTCAATCTGTCAGTTACCTGCTATTAGAAAAGAAAGAGAGGAAAAGTCGCACAGCTTGCGTTGACGATGCTATATTAGTCCAGGATGGTCTTCTGCATGGGTACTATGTTTAACTTGGCGAGCTTGTTTCAACTGGTATATGCATCATGGCAGGTGTATAAAGCATGACTTCCTCTGGTTCGTGTTACCCACGATGAATTGCAGTTGCGAAGTCTGGCACTTCCTTTCCGTGATTCACGTGGGCTTGTCCTCGCATGGAAAGAGGTGCAAAGGTGCGTCTTTCCTGCCTTGCTGTTTCTCAACCTTATCACGCGATTCTATTCTTGTCCAGAAATCTCTGCAACAGGACTCTAGAATTATGCTCTTGTTTCTGTTTGCAACAGGGAGCAATGGCGCCAGCAGCTCTCGAGCCTCGCAGACGGAACGAGGTTATTATAACCAGGGAAGAGGCCATGAAGCGGCGAGTACGCAAGGGATACGCCTTGGAGCTTGTAGGTCCGGCAGCCGATGTAAGCAGCAAAGGTTTTGAGAAGCAAGATAGTTTAGATAGTCGAAGGAGAAAGTCCACAGGAAGCGTTAGCGTCATCAAGGCTTCAGCAGATGCACCGCCTGTCGCTGATTTCCCAGTAGTTCCCGTTGCTGCCCAGCCCAGCTTCTCAGAAGAATCACTCAAACGGAGGGTTCCAGTTTCCAACGGCGGAGGTCATGTGGTTGATCATGCCAGGGCAGCGGATAGGAGAGGCAGCAGAGATGGAGTCACAGGGACTGGTTTGGCTGGGTGGACACGTGGCGAAAGGAGAGGCCTGCGGAGAAAGCTCCGAGATGAGCTGGAGCACTTGCAGGGGTTAAGTGAGAAAGTGGAAGCCAGGGAGGGAGCCTTACGGCGCGAGGAGTTGTCAGGGAAGGGTGCGGAGAGCAGGAAGCGGATGAGACGTTCCGAGAATGGTACGATTGTGTCTCACACGGTGGAATCCGGGTCGATGGACGCCTCGCCTGTCGCTGTAGCCGCTCCGCTCGTTCCTGCGCCCCAAGTGCGAATACAGGTTTCAGAAACGGAGCCTTCAGGCAAGGAGTGGATCGCACCGTTAAGCGCTGATTTGTTTCATGCTAAGGAGAAGGCCTTGGTTCCCGAGAGAGGCAAGGGGAAGAATGTTCCTGCAAACACGCCGGAACTCGATCTGAAACGGCAGAAAATCGAAGCTGCTAGAGCAAGGCGATTGAACGACATTTGTAAGCAGTATGCGGCGCTGCTGAAACGACTGATGTCGCATAAATACGGATGGGTGTTCAAAGAGCCCGTCGACGCGGCGAAGCTCGGGTTACACGATTACCACACGGTGATCACGAATCCGATGGACCTGGGCACGATTACCGCGAAAATCAAGGCGTCGGGTTACCAGCATCCAGACGAACTGTACAGCGACGTGCAGCTGGTTTGGTCGAACGCAATGCGGTATAACGGGGAAGGCAGCGACGTGTACATCATGACGTTGGAACTGAAGGGCCTGTTCGAGCAAGGGTACAGGAAGATCAGACTCAAGGTGGAGGAAGATGCTGCGAAACGCAGGCAGGAAGACCAGGAGCTGATGGCTGTAGAGGACGTTAAGGGAGCTAAGGCAGCTAGGGAGCTGAGTGACGGCCATGAGAAGCCGGAGGTTCAAGAGCTGGAGAAGCGGCTGCAGAAGCTAGAGTCGCAGATGCAGGTTGGTGGGAAGGTGACGAGCCAAGCAGTGGCGCAGGGTCAGGCGATGGGGAAGGTTCCTCCGAGGGACATGACGTTTGCGGAGAAGCAGAAGCTGAGTGTTAACCTGGGGAAGCTTCCTCCAGAGAATTTGGATCGGATCGTGCAGATCATATCAGAGCGCAATCCTGATTTGAGTCAGAACGCGGATGAGATCGAGCTTGACATTGACTCGCTGGACAGTGAGACGCTGTGGGAGCTGGAGAGATGCGTGGCCAACTGCATGAAGAGCAAGAGCAAGCGGAAGCGGGCTTTGCAACAGAAACAATCGGTGCCTTCGTCCAAGGTTTGTGTGCGTGGTTTGGATTTTTAAGCGGTTTGATGTTCGCTTCTCTGTGCAGCTTGTTTCATTCTGATACATTCTGGCATTCTGAATTGGTTGTGCTGCTGTTTTTGGCCTGTGCAGGTTCCAGACGCTCTTCCTGCTTCACAACAGGAGCTCAAAGGTACAAGAGATCCTGTGCCTGAGTAGAACTGCTAAACCATTTTTGTAGTCTAAATTGTTAGATTATTGCAGCACTCGTATCATCCTGTCATTGTGCCTTGCTATCCTTGTGCTATCGCCTGTGCTGTTTCTTAAAATCCCATTCTCTTTCCTTTGCTTCCCAGAAGGCGATGACAGTGTTGACATTGTCGAGGAAGGTTCCGGTCTTATCCATGGGGCTGCTGCTGTTGCTTCTGCTGCAGACTCGGCAGCAGCCAAACTGCCAGCTGGGAATGGAGTGGGAGGGAAGGCCAGTCCAGGCACCTCGGGATCATCTAGTTCAAGCGATGATAGCTCATCCAGTGGTATGCTTATCAAGCCTGAACTTATCTTTGCTCTGTTCCCTTCCCGCGCCTCCCCACCCACCCACTTCTTCCATCATCACCCAACATTTTCTTTCCCCACACTCAGATGTACTGTTTTTCCCAATTGTCCTATTCAGATAGTGACTCAGACAGCGGCACATCCGCCAGCGAGTCTGATCAGGATCGGCGCTCCAAGGGAACACCTTCTGAGCCTGCCCGTGGGAAGGTGACTGAGTTGCTCCGTTTTCTGCCACTCCTTGATTTGTTTTGCAAAAAAGAAGAAAGATTCCAGAAGAATGATGTTGGTACCTCTCTTTACTTGTTAAACTGTGCAGCAGACTCAGAGCAAGGATAGTGCAAAGGCCAGTGGTAAATGCTCGTTTCCTAATGCTGGTAAGCCAAGTTGCACAGCTATTGCACTGGGGAAGTGCAATTTGTGTCCCAATGCATCTGAACTGGCCATTTTGTACAGGGTTACCACGCTGTGTGAACTTTGAGAACAACGCCCATGAGTTGGGTGGTTCTGTTTCATTTGATGCAGGAGGTGCCAGTGCTGCTGCAAGCGAAGGGACGAAGATGGAGGTTGATGTGAAGCAAGATGAAAAGCCGAAGGAGGTGAAGCCATTTTTCAAAGGCAAGTGCCTGTGGAGGCTCTTTGTGTTCAACATTGGGTGGTAAATCACTGTTGGGATCACTCATGCCACATGTTGGATTCTTAAATCCTCCCAGGTGACGACGAGGCGGCCGTAAAAGCAGCCCTTCTTCGGGGAAAGTACGCTGACATTATATTGAACGCCCAGAAAAAAGCAACTGAGGCAAGTCGATATCCTCAACTCTTTTGATTGCCTCTATGTTGTAATGGTCTTAGCTTCTTAATGTTTTTGTTCTGTTTCTCCTTGCAGACTCGAAGTGTGGATCAAAAGCAGCTGGAAGAAATTGAGAAAAAGCACAGAGAAGGTTTGTATGGTAGAACTTCTTGTTTCCTTTCACCAAGTAACAACATGCTAACACCATTGTGCTTTACTACCCAGAGCGAGCTCGTTTGGAAGCTGAAGCCAGGGCAGCACAGGAGACTCGCAGGCGGAAAGAAGCAGAGGCCGCTATTGAAGCTCGTAAAAAGCTGGAGGAGCAAAGAGAAGCAATGCGTCGTGCACTGCAAGGGGTATGCTCCCTCCCCACTAGGGTCATCTGTTATGATTCTGTGCCAATGTTCTTTCTATATTCAGTGTATTTATCTGTTCTTCGGGGCTCTGTCCAATGCTGTGTTCCATGACAAGCAGATGGCAAAGTCCGTGGAGTTGGACGAGAGCCATGCCATCATGAAGGACATGCACCTTCTGAGTGCTCCTGCTGAGCACATCAGCATTGGTCCTGATCGCTCCACCGAATTGCTGTTTGGTGGTGAAGGTGCAAGAGTTTCTGGTCCTCAACAGGGAATGAACGTACTAGAGCATTTAGGGCTTTCACTAAGAGATGAATCAGATGGAGAAGAGAGTGAAGATGAAATGGAGACTGACCGAAGCAAGGAAGAAGTGGAGGATGGGGAAATCTGACTGGGACAATGCTTGCAACTTTCTGGAGCCTTAAAACACAATTGTGGTCACTGGAGCGTACTTGCATGCACATTGATATACTGCACATGATACAACCATCCCTTCTCCAACCTACAAACCATACAGTGTTACATGAATGACAGGTACTGATACCTACAATCCCTACATTGTTCCACGAAAGGCAGGCAGTCACTGATGAAACAGGCATTGTCACATAGTCACCTGATGGAGTTTAATAACACGTAATGAAATGATGATAGAGGCGGATTAAAGAGTATTCTACAGAATCCATCAAGTAGTGGTATCTGCAAAAACACGTTTGGAAAGGATCAGCAAACAACCAAGAAAAACGCGCTTGACGTAAAAGTGGGGGTAGCAGATGTGCTTCACCTGAAATGAATGGTTTGTGAGATTGAGCAATATAAGTCCGCGTGCCTTGGTATCTTGTCTCACCAGCCTTGGACAGGGACAACACACACCTAGCTCTCCTGGTATGTCGCAACCGTATGTATCTCCAGCTGCTCACTGGATTAGGAAGTTTTCATAAAAATCATTGAGTTCCAACGATACAGCACCTGCACACGCAGACTAGAGGTAAGCAAAGCAGTAGCAACAAATGGAGCTCGAGTGCACAAGCGTGATAACTAGGAAGAGGAAGAGGAAGTCGAAGCGAAACATACCACTTAAACGGAAGGAGTGCTGGAATCCGCACAACGCAGCGACCGTATAATCCCAATGACGTAGAGCTAATCGTAAACAAACTTTTCCAGCCTCCTAGATGTCATTCCGTGGGTGCTGTCGCCATCGTAGCATAGGACGGAGATGCTCGTCACAAAACATGCCGACGAAAAAAGGCGACATGATGAAGCTTATTGATGATTAACTTCGCAAGGTTGTGCGACGAGAGCCTTTCTTGACATAACTCTTCTCTTGCATATAGCCCAGTAATATTGGATGGTTACGACCTGCAACCATAACAGATCAATAACTTGCGCAATGCAAGAAGCCGGAGTGAACTTCATCACCTGTCATTACCTTTGCTTGTATGGTCTGCTGAAGGACAGTCGTCATCTCCAATAACCAACTGAAATTCAACTGGGCCTGAAAACTGTGATGGTTGGGCAAAAGAGCAAGGAGCAAGGGAAGTTGGGAGAATGTGAGTGGCTCTCCAGTCAAACCCAACCCAAACAGGCGGGGCGAGTGCGGAAAACTGGCGCAGGTCAGGTTGGAGCAGAGCGATACACTTTCGCTGACGTGTCCAAACCCTCGATGCTGTAGTGTTACAGAATCCAACTTCCATTATTCCTTGTGCAATACAGTCAATGTTTGTGCCAGCATTTCCGAACTCCAATTTCTCAACTGATGACCCAGCCTGCGGCATATCCGTCTCAGGGTTTCACGGGGATATGCCGACTAGCTCTAGCTAGGGATACGCCGACTTTTATGCTGACATTAATTCGTGAAACGGACGCAAGTTCTGATGACAGGTGTCCACCATTCTGCCAGGGTTCCTGCCTAGCACGCGTCTATTCTGAAGCGAAGTGTACACGAGCCATAAATTCTTTGCAGGTCTATTACGTCACTGCCACAACTCTGCAATTTTCCCTCGTCGAAGAAGCAAGTCCGCTGCAGAGCGTAAACCCGCTTGCCGCCGATCCTAGTTAACAAACTCATTTGCTGGTCCGTGTTAACGCGAATTGACCTGCGTCGTGCCTACGCATTTCATAAACGTGCCTTCATCTCGCGACATGGACGGCAGCGGAAAGGGCCCTTCTTCCGCGCCTGACGGCGGCGGTTCCTGGCCCGTCGGACCGAATCGGACGCGCGACGGCTCTTACGGCGGCGGCGGCGGAGAAAGCGGGCTTGGCGCAGGCAGAGACATGGGCGGACCTGGCGCGGGGATGGGACCGGGGGGAACGGGGGGTATGGGGATGATGGGCATGGGACCCATGGGCGGAATGGGGAGTATGGGGGGAACGGGCGGATCGGGCGGAATGGGAGGTACGGGGGGGATGGGGGGTGCGGGATACGTGTTTGATCCGATGTATCCACAAGGGTACGGGGGACTCAGCGGCGGCGGCGGAGGAGGCGGAGATCCGTCGCGGAAGTGGGGAAAAGGGGAGGGATCCGCGGAAGGTGGCGCGCAGGCGGGATCCGGACCTGGCATGGGAGGCATGGCCGGGCCTGGAGGTATGGGAGGGTCGGGGCCTGGTATGGGCCCTGGAGGTATGGGTGCTGGAGGCATGGGCTCAGGCATGGGTTTTGGCATGGATGCGGGCGCGCGGGGAGGGGGAGGCGGAGGGGGGTGGGGAATGGGGAGTATGGGGGGGATGTCAGGCATGGGGAACATGGGCATGGGCGGGAACATGGGCGGAGGCATGGGGATGGGAATGGGCGGAGCGGGCGGAATGGGGATGAACATGGGATATGGCCCTGGTCCAGGGGGAATGGACGGGCCTGGCGGATGGGCAGGCGGAGGCGGAGGAAGAGGGGGAATGCCAGGCGGCATGGGGGGAGGGGGAGCGGGAGGCGGAGGGGGAGGTGGGGGCGGCATAGGGACCGGTGCAGGGGCAGGCGCAGGGGCAGGTTCGGGGGGGGGCGGAGGAGGCGCTGGGATGGGCGGAGGTGGGCCAGAAACGGGTGGTATACCACCAAGAGCGCCCCAGTCAGGCCCAGCGAACGGCCCTGGTCGGGGGGGCATATTCTACCGCACGAAAATGTGTGTCAAGTTCCGCAACGGCGTGTGTCCGTACGTGAGCAACTGCAACTTCGCCCACACGCAGGAGGAGCTGAGAAGGCCCGTGCCCAGCTGGGGAGGGGATGATATGGCGGGGCGCAAGGGCGCGGGGGATGGCAGGGGGCCGGCACGAGGAGGTGACGGAGGAGGGGGAGGAGGGGGGGGGAGGGGGGAGGAGGGGGTGGTGGAACTAGTGGTGCGGACGGGAGTGCGGATGGGGTGAGAAGAGATGGCCGACCACCAGAGGTGAGTGCTGTGTAAGTTTATATTCTACTGTTTCTGTTTAGCACATACTGATCCCCAGGCGCGACACTGATGCTTTGGCTGACTCTTTATTTCTTCCCTTCCCGTTGTCTTGTCGGCCATTACCAGCAGCAGCAGCAGCAGCAGGCACCACAAGCATCTGAGGCACAAGGGCCCGCCAGCAAGGCAACGTCTGGTGCTGCTGGCGAAGGTGCTGGTGGGGCTGGTGGCATTGCCAAGGGAGGGGCGCCAGGGGAAGGAGCAGGGGGAGCAACCGGGCCTGCAGGGGCGGACGCTCCTTCTGCATCAGCTGCTGCTGCTGACAGTGCTGGTGGCAGTGCTGGTGGAGGGGGGGGAGCGGTTGGGGGAGGGGGAGGCGGGGGAGGGAGTGTGGGCATGGGGGCGACGGGCAAGCCACCCAACTGGCGCACGCGCATGTGCCACCGGTGGGAGATGACTGGCAACTGCCCCTTCGGTGACAAGTGCCACTTCGCCCACGGGGTCCATGGTACGTGCTGCCGCCTTGCTGCTGCTGCTGCTGCTGCTGCTGCTGCTGCTGCTGCTGCTGCTGCTGCTGCTGCTGCTGCTGCTGCTGCTGCTGCTGCTGCTGCTGCCTTGCTGCTTCTCTCAAGTATGCCAATAGAGTCACGGGTACAGTTGCACGGGTGGCGCCTGGTTCCAGGTTGTTGTTTTTTTGTTTTTTTTTTTTTGGTAGGTGAAAATGCATTATACAATGTACAACGCAAAACACCGTCGGTCGTAACCGGAGCTAGAGGGCATAGGTAGTGTATACCGTACCCTCGCAGAGATCTACGGAGGCTTATAGACCAAACGCCTAAAAATTTCAACTTGCCCACTACAAAACCCCTTTGTGCCATTGGCACACTTCAGCTCTGGCAGAAACGCCTCGGTAGGTTCCAGGTTCTGTATCTGTCGCTTCAGCTTGGAAGAATTGGCTCCGAGCCTGCCTTGCCGTGCCTTGTAAAAAGGTTGGGATCCAACAGAGAAAACCCTGGTTCGAAATTGCTGCCGAGCGGGACCTTCGTGACGGATGTTCAGTCTTGGTCCTTTGGCTCCAAATATGATTCGCCGAGAGTGGTGGAGTTGGGTTGGGAGAGCAAAATTTGCCGTGGTTCGAAGTTGCTGCCTATCAACTGTGCCTTGTACACCAAAGCCTCATATGCCAGGCAGTTGCGTGAGCGGTGTGCTGGAAGCTACCCCCACTGTCCGAGGGGAGAAAGCAGGGGCAGCTGCACCCGCAACGGATTTCTTCTGAAAGACCCTGCGCGTCTCATCGTCGGTCGTAGCGTAGCGCCATAGTCCAGTTTCCTCCAGCGACATGAGCTTATCCTGAAAACTTTCTGCCGTAGAATCCACCAAGTTAGGCTCTGTATCCATGACACCATTGACCTTCCCTTCCTGCCGCCATAAGTTGTAGCTAAGAAACACAGAATAAACGTCTTCTTGAGTTGATAGTGAAGCTTTCTGTAAAACAGGTGGTTCTTGATCTGATATGGTCAGAATCCTTATTTGCTTGAAATCTGGACTTGAGTCAGCCGCGTAGACATTCCTTGTAATGCGTTGAGATGAACGATGTTGGACAAGTGTGAAGCTGCTGCTTTTCAACCATGTAGGATGGCAGAAAATGCTGATCATTTGAAAATGCTGATCATCTGAAAATGCTGATCATATGAAAATGTTCCGTCTATAAATTTCCTTGTACTACACCCTTTCTTGCACCTGTACTTCTTCTCGGGAGCCATTCTAGATGTCCTTCATTTTGCTTCTGCTGCAAACATGATGTATACCCCGTCTTGTCAGAAACCAACGCTGATCCAGACTTGGTAGTTCTCGATGGTGGTAAAAAAATGTCCGCTGCTGACGAGACGTCTCTTTTAAAGTCTGTTGTCGAACAATCGAAGAGAATGTTGATAGACGAAATATATTTGGCGGTCCAGTTGCTGTGTACTTTCTCTTCTCATGGTGTGTCGAGCCTTTCTTGCTTTCCAGGTTCCAGCTTAGGTGACGACTTGTGCTAAGCCTGGCCATTATCACTTCCTTGGAGTAACTTAATGCCTTGAGCTTAGAACCAGTTAAAACCTGAAAACAGATCTTCACAAGAGGAAGTTGCGATAAACCAATGTTCTCTGTTTGAACACAAAATGGTGTCGTAATCAAGCTCTTGATGAGTAGACCCAGAATATGTATTCTGATCTTGAAACTGATAGCGATTAGCTTGACATTGTGTGAGTTAAAGTTCTCCTAGGAGCCATGGCGGAGAGCTTGGAGCGGAGAGACAGCTTTGGTATCGTATATGTGTTGCAGCGATATGTGAGGCTGCTGTTCTGGTTCCAGGTTGTGCAGTTTTGACTCAGGTCCTTTGTTGACCTACCCTGTCCTCTTAACATCATTCATAAACCTGTCCTTGCTACACCAACCCCCTCTCTCCACCCTCCCCTTCCCCACTCTTCTCTCCCTCCCATCACCCTCTTCACTTGGACCTGTTTCGAATATTTGTCCCTGTCTCTCCCCTATGTCTCCCTCCTGCATCTCTCTCTCTCCCCAACCTGCGCATTCCCCTATGAGCAGAGCTGCAGAGGTACGGGGGAGGGCCCATAGACCCATCCATGCTGCCGCCGCCCTACGCCGACCAGTTCCACCGCATGGGACCCGGCATGCCCCCCATGGGCGCCATGGGGGGGTCAATGGGCGCAATGGGGGGAGGCCTTGGGGGAAACGTTCCCCCTGACTTCCCCCCCTATGGGCCCGGCGGTGGGCCTGCTGGTGGGCCTGGCTTCCCCGGTGCTGCTGGGATGGGTGGGGGTGGGGTGGGAGCGGTGCCTTTTCTCCGCCCTCCTCCCCTGGGGTTTGGTCCTGGGGGTGGGGCGATGGGGAGAGGAGGGCCCATGCCTGGCCAAGGTATGGGCTCGTTTGCTGATGGCAGGCATGGGATGGGAGGCGGTTTGGGTGGTGGTAGAGGGAGGGGGAGAGCGGAGGGTGGGAGAGGGTTGAGTGGTGGGGGGAGGATGGAGAAAGATGGGGTGAATTTGCTGTATGGGGACTGGGTTGAAGAGGATGAGTGGGCAGGGAAGGAAGGGGATGAGGAAGAGGGGGCAGAGGGAGAATTTGATGGTGGGAGGTTGTTGGAAGATGGGTGTGATGAGTTGTTTGCATGGGTGTGGCAAAAGGAAATGGAGCATAGCATTGAGAAGGAGAGTGGCTCCGACATCGACTTTGAAAGCCTTTTGCCGGCGGGAGGGCGATCAAGATTTGTATCGATGCCTAGAAGGAAAGTCAAAGCCACTAAGGCGGGTCATAATAGAGTTGTTCCTTATATGCTGAAGTCTCCATGTACAGCTTAAAGAATTTTGTACATTCCTTTTGCTGAGTTGCATTCCCTGGTATCACTGTCCTTGCTTGCTTTTGGTGCACTAGTTCCAGCCCGCCCCCAAACCTGTTGTTCTGGTTCGGTTCCTTACCAAGCCTCGCAAGTTTCCACACCAACCTCTATAGCTTTGTCGGAAGCCACGATACGCCGGCTCGGATGTCATTACCTGGCGGTTTGGTCTGGAAACTTTTACTGATGTCTGTCTGCCTCTGCCATATCTCCTGAGGACCTCAACGCTGGGAAAGTCCGACACAAAAATCACAAGCAGCTCACCCCACCTCAGCCCATCCCATACCACCTCACTCCGCCCTGTCCCAACCCAAACGAGTTTGGCCTTTTCTCCAATCTGAGTCCCAGAAAGCTGCAGCGCCGGTCTGGACCACCACCACAACCAGTTGTCCTGCCCACCCCCTATCCAGCTGGGCTCCACATCCCTGCCCATCTCCTCAACTATGCCAGGCATAGGTTTTATTTAGGTTGAAACGAAGCCAGTCAAACACCATGCCCTGCTCTCACTCTTCCCCCAACCACCATGCCCTGCTCTCACTTCTTTGAACAAAGTGACGAGACTGCGCCTTGCCTGCGCGCGGACTATAGGTCACCTGCCCAGAGTTTTTAAAAGAAGTAACGCCTACGCCATTACGTAAAGCGAGAGCGGTCTACTGTGGCTCCGACTGCTTCTGCGTGTTTTCGTTTTTCTCTGCGTCCAGACTCGTCAGGTTCATCCGCAGCGTCATTTCAGTTTTTTTAGTCCCCTAATTTAAGACTTGCAAAGCATGGACGTCGACGCGGATGGCGAGCCGCCAAGAATAGCTCCCGCGTACACTCCCTGTGCGTTTAATGGCGAGTCGCCAGGCCCTAGATGCGGTCATACGCTCACAGCTGTCGCCGCGGTAGGCGAGCCTGGGAGCGCCAACTACGTGGGACCCAGACTGATTCTCTTCGGTGGAGCCACGGCTCTCGAAGGCGGTGCTGGCGCCACTGCAGGCGGCGCTGCAGGCATTCGTAAGCCTCGGCACCTAGCAACCTCGATGCATCGCTTTCTTAGCCATGTCAGGTCATCTGATGTCGTGTCATGTCGTATCATTTCGTCGTACCTGGCATTGCCGTTACGGCATTCCTTTCTCTCGCTATCGTTGTCGAGCACCCACTATCTTCCTCTTATGCATTTAAAACTCTTCATTTGTACGCCTCTCAGGTTGTTTAAAGGTCACATATTTTTAACCACCACTTTCCAAGCTCACCTTTTTACGCTCGCATTGTCATCGCGCACAGGTCTGGCGGGGGCAACTGCGGACGTTCACTGCTTCGACGTAAAATCCAGAACATGGAGCAAGTACGTGAACGTCTGGTCTGGTTTCTTACAGTGCTGGAAAATAATCATATACAAAAGTTAAGATTTTAGTCTCGCTTACTAAGAGCTTATCACCACTCTAGAGGTATTTTCTTTTACTGGAAGATAGGCGTTGTCGTAAGGTCAGTCGGTAGTGGTATTACGATTTAAATTCCCATGGCGGACTTCCAATCGTCGCCGTCAGTAATGTGCAGCACGTGCATTGCGTTACGCGCCTCATGCAGAACCATTCCCGTGTCGTCTCGCCTTTCAGAATGTCGCCAGTCGGCGAGCCTCCGTCGCCTCGAGCAGCTCACGCGGCGACGGCAGTGGGAACCATGATAGTCATTCAGGTGCCTTCTCATCACTGCTCGACATTACCGCGCGAACCATCGGTCGTTCGTTCCTGATTTCCCGTCCGTTTACCCTCATTTCTAGTGCGGGCTTTTGTGCGAAAGGCTATCGAATTGTGTTCAGGAGTGGAAGCTTTTCGTTTTCGTCGTACGACTTAGGGTGGCATTAGACTTCGCCAGTCCGTTTCTCTAAATGTCGCTGAACGTGTGTTGGCAGGGTGGCATTGGGCCGGCGGGCCTGGCAACGGACGACCTGCACGTCCTCGACCTCACACAAGCGCGCCCCAAATGGCACAGGTAACGGGAAAACGTTGCCTTTCCTATCTCGCTACGACCTTTTGCGTCTCCCGCGCATTGTGAATCAACAGCCTCAACCTCTTACTTCGTTAACCGCCCCTGACTCTCACCGCCCGCATCCCTCTCCCCTGCTGTCTCCGCCCTTTCCCCCGGGCTTCCGCGATCAGAGTGGTGGTGCAGGGCGCGGGACCAGGGCCGCGCTACGGGCACGTGATGGCGCTCGTGGGGCAGCGCTTCCTGCTCTCCATCAGCGGCAACGACGGTGAGCGCCACCGGGCGAGCGGGCCAGCGGGCCAGCGAACGAGCTAGCGAGCGAGAGATCTGTATTCAATTTCACGCGTTTTACTACCCAGAACCCTGTCCTTTTCCCACCCGAACACCTCTTCGCACCTTTCTGAATACATTCTTAGTCCAGCTACACCACGCTCACCTCGTTCACTCAAGCCCAGTGCATGTGATTCTCCCCCACCCCACCCCCCTTCCCCCCTTTCCGCACCACTCCCTCTCCCCTTCTCCCTCCCCGCTCCCCATTTCCCCGCGGGCAGGCAAGCGGCCGTTGGCGGATGTGTGGACGCTGGACACGGCGGCGAAGCCGTACGAGTGGAAGAAGCTGGAGCCCGATGGCGAGGGGCCGCCGCCGTGCATGTACGCCACCGCCAGCTCAAGGCACGACGGGCTGCTGCTGCTCTGCGGCGGGCGCGACGGGAGCAGCGTGGTGAGCCTCTCCTCGTGTGCAATGTTGTCTCATGCCATGCCGTGCCATGCTGCCATGCAACCTGTGCGCCTTTCTTATGGTCCAATTCTCCCTTGCAAGTGCATAAATTCCGTACATACACCACTGTAATTCCGTACATACACCACTGTAATTCCTCTTCCCTCGTTATCCGCCCTCGTGTCCCCGCAGCCCCTGCCAGGTGCGTATGGCTTGGCGCGGCACCGAGATGGGCGGTGGGAGTGGGCCATCGCCCCCGGCGTGTCTCCCTCCGCGCGCTACCAGCACGCTGCTGTAAGCCCCTCTGTATCTGTCTGGTTTCCTAGTTCCGGGTTGGTCACACAATCATGGCAGAACCACAACTCAGTGTGAGGGTCACACAACCATCATGCTGGTCACTCACAACACAACCAGCACGCAGTAGCAGGAAGCCACTCATTTCGCCTATCCCTCCAGTTTCGTAATTGGCATCCTATCTCACTGCTTCGCCTGTCTCACTGCTTCGTTCGTACCACTATCATTCGGCAGCAACCCACCCACATCCGTTGCTCACCCCTCCTTGTCTGCTTGCTCCACTTCGTGCCGTCACTTGCTCCTTTCCGCCTATGCCTCTCTTACTTTTACTCTCCCCCTCCATTTCCCGCACTGCGCCACATCCTCCCAACCCCCCTCCACCCCTGTGCGAGCAGGTGTTTGTGAACCTGCGCCTGCACGTGTCGGGTGGAGCCCTGGGAGGTGGTCGCATGGTGGAGGATGCGTCCAGTGTGGCAGGTGAGTGGGGGGGAAAGGGGGATGTAGGTGAAGTCAAGTGACACACAAATTGTGCCACGCCCTTGCGTGCACACTGCACCACCACACCTCCCCTACTGTGTGCAAAGATTCTGCGTGGCGAGTAAGTGGGTGAGGAGGCTACCTGCCGGCACCTCTTGCAATTGCAGCCATGGAATGTTTGCATTGCACCCAGCAGGGGAGGTGTGTGCCTGGAGGTGATTTTAGAGGCGCCTAAACAATCACCTGAATGTCTGCATTGCACCCAGCAGAGGAGGTGTGTGCCTGGAGGTGATTTTAGAGGCGCCTAAACAATCACCTGAATGTCTGCATTGCACCCAGCAGAGGAGGTGTGTGCCTGGAGGTGATTTTAGAGGCGCCTAAACAATCACCTGAATGTCTGCATTGCACCCAGCAGAGGAGGTGTGTGCCTGGAGGTGATTTTAGAGGCGCCTAAACAATCACCTGAATGTCTGCATTGCACCCAGCAGAGGAGGTGTGTGCCTGGAGGTGATTTTAGAGGCGCCTAAACAATCACCTGAATGTCTGCATTGCACCCAGCAGAGGAGGTGTGTGCCTGGAGGTGATTTTAGAGGCGCCTAAACAATCACCTGAATGTCTGCATTGCACCCAGCAGAGGAGGTGTGTGCCTGGAGGTGATTTTAGAGGCGCCTAAACAATCACCTGAATGTCTGCATTGCACCCAGCAGGGGAGGTGTGTGCCTGGAGGTGATTTTAGAGGCGCCTAAACAATCACCTGAATGTCTGCATTGCACCCAGCAGGGGAGGTGTGTGCCTGGTGAATGTGTCATGGCAGCAACAAGTCACCAGCGGGCCAACAGCTTCCGTGGCTCTTAACTGCTGGCTCATACGCCTTCCTTTCTTCTTCTATCCTGTTCCCCCTGCTCCCTCTCCCATTTGCGGCAGTGCTCTACACTACAGAGGGCGTGCGGTGCGACTGCAAGGGCAGGTCACCAGGTCACCATTCGCTCATACGCCTTCCTTTCTTCCACTGTCCTGCCTCCCCTTGTCCCTCTCCCCTCCGCCATCCCTCTCCCATGCACTGCACTGATGGACACGGCAACGGGCATGTGGTGTGACCGGTAGGGCATGGTAGCCGTGGCGAGGACGGGGTAACAGCTTCTGTGCTGGCTCATACACCCTCTTTTCTTCTGTCCTTTGCCGTGCCCCCTTCCCCACCCTCCCTCCTCCACCTTCTCCCCTCCTTCCTCCCGCTCCCATGCACGGCAGTGTTGGACACGGCAGCGGGCGTGTGGTGTGACCGCAAGGGCACGGTGGCGGTGGCGAGGACGGGGCGCTTCAGTGCGGACGCGCCTGGCGGCGACGCCAGCACGGAGCTCACCCGCCGCTGCCGCCACGCCGCTGCTGCTGTTGCCAACTCCATCTTCATTTATGGTGGCCTCCGGGGCGGTGAGTTGGGGGGGGAGGGGGGAGGGAGGGGAGGGAAGTGAGTGGGCGGGCGCCTGGGGGTGACGCCAGCACCAAGCTCACCCGCCGCCGCTGCCACGCCGCTGCTGCTGTTGCCAACTCCATCTTCATCTACGGGGGGCTCCGGGGCGGTGAGTGGACTTACAGGGAGGGGGGGAAGTGAGTGAGTGGGGGGGCGCGGAGCTTACTCGCCGCTGCCGCCGTCGCCAACTCCATCGTCATCTATGGGGGGCTGCGGGGCGGTGAGTTGGGGGGAGGAGATTGGGGGTGGGGGCGGACGGGGTTTATGTAGGAGGGCTGGAGTGAGTGGGGGCGCGCCCGGGCCCGGGGAAAGGGGGGTTCACTCGTCGCCCATCGCTCACCACTCTTTCCAACCCCCCCTCCCCCCAACACACACCAGGCATTCTCCTGGACGATCTGCTGATCGCTGACGACTCGCCACCGGAGCCGCCACCACTGCCTTTCTAACTCTCCTGTCCACACCCCTGCCATTCATGGTCCCCCCCCCCACTCATATCCGCACTCACCACTCATCTCCCCCCCCATTCACACGCACACCAGGCATTCTCCTGGATGATCTGCTGATCGCCGACGACTCGCCACCGGAGCCGCCGCCGCTGCCTGCCCCGTCCGCCAAGGCGGAGGGCGTGGGCAACCGCAGGCCGCCCGTGGCCCCCCGCAAGGGGGCGCGCGGGGACGCTGCTGCTGCCTCCGCCGCTGGCAGGGAGGCTGACGGCGGGGCTCATGCTCGCGACCACCTCACCAGGTGCGTGGTGGGGCTGGCTTTGTGGGGCTGGCTGGAATTGAGAGGCACGTTGTAGGTGGGTCTTAAAGATAGTCTGGCGGCGGGACAGCGCATGCTTGAGACCACTCGACCAGGTGCGTGATGGGGCTCGCTGGAATTGAGAGACATGTTGGTGCGAGATCACCAGGTGATAGTCAACTAAAACGTCTCCCCCATGTTCTCCCCCATGTTCTCCCCCATGTTCTCCCCCATGTTCTCCCCCATGTTCTCCCCCATGTTCTCCCCCACATTCCCCCCATAATCCCCCCCTCCCCCCCCCTCCCCTTCGCCCTATCCCCCCCCAGTGGTGAGGAGGGCGCGGATGGGCTTTCTTTCAACGGCAGGGGGGGCGTGCCAGGGAGGGGCGGGGCGGGGGGCAGCGACGAGGAGGAGGAGGAGGAAGAAGAGGAGGGGGACGCGGACGACAGCAGCAGCGACGGCCTTCACCCCAGCACGTCCAGCCTCACCAGTCACAGCGACGATGGCAGGAGTGACACCCCCGACTTCAAAGGCGGCGTGCGCCTGCACCACCGCGCTGTGAGTGCTGCCCGCCCCCCCTAGCCCACCGGTCTATCCGTCCACCCCATTTGCATCCATCCCAGCACGTCCAGTCTCACCAGCCACAGCGATGACGGCAGGAGCGACACTCCCGACTTCAAGGGTGATGTGCGCCTGCACCACCGTGCTGTGAGCCCCGCCTGCCAGCCCAATACTCTATCCTCCCCCCCCCCCCCCCCTCCCTCCCCCAACCCAACCCCTTCCATCCCCCCCATTTCCCCGCTTTCCCCTTCCAATGCAACCTTCCCCCTCACCCCGTCTCCACTTTCCCAGCCCCATTCCAGCATCATCACCAGCACGCGCCCCTTTCCCCTGTCTGCTTAGCTGTGCTTCCTTTCCTCTGTCCTCGCAGTTTTCCTTTCCGTTGGTGTGTAAACGTTTGTCTTTCCCTTTCCCCCTCCCTTTCCACCTCCCCATTCCCCACTCCTTCCCTCTCCCCTTGACCTCCCCCTCCCTCTCGTCTTCTCCTGTTTTAAACCCCTTTCCTGTGTACTGCCCTCTTTTCTCCATCCGTTAGCCAACGTTTGTCCCTCTCTCCCTCCTCCGCTCAGGTGGTGGTCTCGGCAGACCCAGGCGGCAACAGTCTGGGCGGGCTGGTGCGTCAGCTGTCCATCGAGCACTTTGAGAACGAGGGCCGCCGCATCAGCTACAGCCCTGACGGCGTGCAGGCGCACCGACGCCTCCTCGACAGGCAGATGTCCATCCAGGGCGTGCATAAGAAGGTGTGTGTGGGGGGGGAGAGGGGGAGGGGGGGGTAGAGTTGGCAGGAGGCTGCTGGCGCATCAGCTACAGCCCCGACGGCGTGCGGGCGCACCGGCGCCTGCTCGACCGCCACATGTCCATCCAGGGCGCGCATAAGGTGGGGGTGGGGTGAGAGAGGGAGGAAGGGGGGGGGGGGGGAGGTAGGAGGCTGCGGCCGCACTGGCTTTCGGGCACACAGGCGTGCAGGAGCACAGGCGCCGGCTGGAGTGGATCGCCAGATGTCCATCCAGGGTGTGCACAAGAAGGTGGGAAGCAGGCCAGGGGAAAAGGGTGGTGAGACAGGGGTGCAGGGGGGGGGAGGGAAAAAATGGTATACAGGGGTATTTGCACATACTGACGTTCACTCGCGAACATGAGATGTCCAATTAAATAGTTCACTCACACACACACACACACACACACACCACATGCTCCACTTGCCCCCCTCCCCCCGTCCGTCCCCTGGCTGGCTGGCAGGTGCTGCAAACGCTGTTGAAGCCGAGGGGGTGGAAGCCTCCGGTGAGTCGGCAGTTCTTTCTGGACGTGCATGGCGTGGTGGAGCTCTGCGACCTCGCAGAGACACACTTCAAGAACGAGCCCTCCGTTCTGCAGGTGGGACGAGCCCTCCGTGCTGCAGGTGAGACGAGCCCTCCGTGCTTCAATGTGAGTGAATGAACCCTCTGGTAGGTTTGTCCAATCTCACAGAGGGGCATGCTACCAAGGGGAGGGGCTACCTGTGCTGGAAGAGGGTGCCTCTGTCAAAGGTGCGCCCGGCCATCAGCCCCCCCGAGCTCTCCTTGCCACAAATCACATGTGCCTTTCGTCCCTCCTCGTCCCCTGTCTCCGCCCCTGTGTCTCCTCCCCCTGACCTCCCCCCTGGGTGCATGCATCCGCAGATACGAGCGCCTGTGAAGATCTTTGGCGACCTACACGGGCAGTTTGGTGACCTCATGCGCCTCTTTGACGAGTACGGCTCGCCCTCCACCGCCGGCGACATTGCGTGAGTGCCCTTGTGCCTTGTGCCTTGTGCCTTGTGCCTTGTGCCTTGTGCCTTGTGCCTTGTCTGTCTCAACATGGTGCCCCCCTGCCTTGATGGGTGTGGGTGAGCGCGTTGCACTGTCAGACTGTTGCCCAGTGTTAGTCCCACCTCATGCGCCTCTTTGACGAGTGCGGCTCGCCCTCCACCACTGGCGACATTGTGTGAGTGCCCCTCCTCCTTGTCCCTTCCCTCTCTCAAGTCGGTGCCACCCACCCGTCACCGCTGGCGGTGGAGGTACGTGGGTAAGAACAGTGCACTCTCACCCTACCAGGCCACTTTGCGTGAGTCCTCTCGGCCTCTCTGCCCCTGCTCTCTAACAAATCAACCCTTTTTTCTCGCACTTCACTCCCTCACTTCTGCACTCGCCTATCTTTCTTTCCCCCCCCCGCCTTCCCTCTTCCCCCACACCCACCTTTCACCCATCCACCTTTCACCTGGGGGGTCCACCAGGTACATCGACTACCTGTTTCTGGGCGACTATGTAAGCAGGGCACGGGCCAACACAGAGCCTCTGCTCTCCGCACTTCAATCCCTCACTGCCCTTCTCTCCTTGTGTGCGCCTGTCTCTCTGCCTTCCCCCATCTCCCCACCAGGTACATAGACTACCTGTTTCTGGGCGACTATGTGGACAGGGGGCAGCACAGCGCCGTGCCTCTGCCTTCCTCGTTTCACTCCCCCGTTCCCCTCTCGCCCTCCCCACCCACCCCATCCCCCCCACCTCCCCACCAGGTACATAGACTACCTGTTTCTGGGCGACTATGTAGACAGGGGGCAGCACAGTCTGGAGACTATCATTCTGCTGCTCGCTCTCAAGGTGATGCGCGGAACACCCACCGCTGCAGGCATGGATGGGGATGGCTGCCATGGCTTGGATGGGGGATGGGTGCATGCATGGGGGATGGCTGCATGCATGGGGGATGGCATGCACGGATGTAGGTTTTCAAATTTGTACTGTTCCCGCCTTTATTCTCCCGGTTGTTCAAGTACCACATCCTGAATTTTGTGACCATTCTTGAGACGTCTCAAAAATCTCAACTCCCTTTATTTCCTCGACCTTGGCTCCATCCCCGATCAAGTAAACCACATCACATGCTCTCTCAGACGGGCACCCTTTCTCTTTTTCCCTTCAATACTAGATTGAGTACCCGCACAACGTGCATCGCACGGATTCTTGTACACTGCATTATCTCCCCCTCACGCTTTCCTTTCTTCCCCTCCATCCAGATTGAGTTCTCGCGGAACGTGATCTGAATCTCGTTCAAAGCATTCTCTCCTCCTCCCTCACGTCTCGCTTTCTTCCCCTCCATTTTCCTCCCTCCCCCCGACCCAGATTGAGTTCCCGCGCAACGTGCATCTGATTCGAGGCAACCACGAGGCGGCGGATATCAATGCGCTCTTTGGCTTCCGAATGGAGTGCATCGAACGCATGGTGGGTTTAGTGGTGCAATTCGAGCCAGGGTATGTGATGCATCGCTGGTGTAACATCAATATGGAGATTGTACAGCGCAAGCTGACTGCACGCATGCATTCCATCGCGCATGCCCTATGCTTGTCAGGCACGTCTCGTTCATCTGGGCGTTGATCCGATCTCACGCGTCACCTGGAATGAAACAACCCCACAGGGCGAGGAGGGGGGCATATGGGCGTGGCACCGCATCAACCAGCTCTTCAACTGGCTGCCGCTGGCAGCCCTCACCGCGCATTCCCCTGTGCACTCATTCTCATTTTCCCATACTCCTCCACCCACCTGACCTGACCCCACCCCACCCGATCCCACTCCACCCCACACCACCCCACCCCAACCTCCCCTCACCACTGCAAACCCCTGCAGGGCGAGGAGGGCGGCATATGGGCGTGGCACCGCATCAACCAGCTGTTCAACTGGCTGCCGCTAGCAGCGCTGATAGAGCACAAGATCCTGTGCATGCACGGGGGCATAGGGCGCTCCATCCAGCACGTGTCACAGATCGAGGAGCTCAAACGCCCCATCACCATGGAGGCTGGATCCATGGTTCTCATGGACCTGCTCTGGTGCGTGCATGGTGCTCCCAGACACGCATGTATGCTCACTCGCATTCACATACACACTAATGCTCTCTTCTCTCCCACACACGTGTGGGAGCTCAAACGCCCCATCACCATGGAGGCTGGCTCCATGGTGCTCATGGACCTGCTCTGGTGGGTTGGTGCTCCCACACACACACACACACACACACACACACACACACACACACACACACACACACACACACACACTTCCATACACCCTAGTGCTCTCTCTCACTCCGACACACATGTGGGAGCTCAAACGCCCCATCACCATGGAGGCTGGGTCAATGGTGCTCATGGACCGGCTCGGGTGCGTGCTCATGGCCTTACGTGCAGTATTGCCCACTTCCCACGCACACACACATAATCACTTCCACATGCTCCAATGCTCCATGATCCGACACACACATGAGATGAGAGCTTCATTGATGCCGGCTCCATGGTGCTTGTGGACCGTCGAGCTCCATGGTGGACCGTCCTCAATGGAGCTCCATACTCACTCCCTTGATTACTCGTTGTAGGCCTACAATCGTGAATACTCGCTCTCTCCCACACACACACTCTCCTCTACACTCGCCTAACCTCGCTCACTCCGACACACGCGCTCATGCCTTGCCTGGCAGGTCGGATCCCACGGAGAACGACAGCATAGAGGGCCTGCAACCCAATGCCAGAGGACCAGGCCTTGTCACTTTCGGAGTGAGCCCCTTTGCTTCTCTGCCTCTCTGCCAGTCTCTCTCCTTCGTCTCCACCTCACTCCCCCGATTCCCTGTCTCACTTGCACTCAACCCATCTTCATGTCACCCTGTCTCGTCCTTTCTCCCTCTCCTCTGTTGCCCATCCTGACAGACTGACTCAGTATTTTTACATCCTCCCACATCCCCTCTTCCCCCTTCTCATCGCCTCTCCCCCCTTCTCATCCCCTCTCCCCGCTTCTCATCCCCTCTCCCCCCCCTTTCCCTTCCCCTCTCACTTACCCACTTTTCTCCACTCTTCCATCCCCCCTCCCCCCACAGCCCGACCGAGTGATGGAGTTCTGCCACACCAACGACCTGCAGCTCATCATTCGAGCGCACGAGTGTGTCATGGACGGCTTTGAGCGCTTCGCAGGGGGCCACCTCATCACGCTCTTCTCCGCCACCAACTACTGCGGTGAGTAGCGCTGCTTTGGGTGGTGCTGGGGTGAGTGGTGTAGCAATGAGGGCTGTTGGGGTGAGTGCTGCCACATCTCTGTTTCGCAGGAGGGCACCTCATCACCCTCTTCTCCGCCACCAACTACTGCGGTCAGTGGCGCTGGGGTGTCGAGTGTAATAAGGGATATCTATCATAGTCGCAAGAGCAGGTCCATTGTTGCGAATCATAAGCGCACTTTGCTTCGCAGGGGGCCACCTCATCACCCTCTTCTCCGCCACCAACTGCTGCGGTCAGTGCTGCCCCCCTTGCAGCCCAGCTGTCATATTCTTGCTCTCTCTTTCAACTCCCGTGGTTCCCTCGTTCTATAGCACAGCATGATAATCAATCAAGGACCTGGCCCTCCTCCCTTCTCTCCTACTGTCACCCGGCATGGACTTTGCAGGCACGGCCAACAACGCAGGGGCCATCCTGGTGTTGGGGAGGGACCTGGTGGTCTTCCCCAAGATGATCCACCCGCTGCCGCCCACTGGCAACCCAGCCAACTCGTCTGATGACCAGGATGACACGTGGATGGCGGTGAGTGGCTTGTGCTGCTAACATCCACCTGTTTTGTGGTTCCGTCGACTTGAGTGTCATGACAGAATATGAAAATACTCAATTGCTACGTTGCGAGCTTTCATATTAAGGCTGTAGCCTTCCTCTTCCCCCTCTCCCCCCCGTTTTCTCCCCCTTCTCCTTCCCTTCTCCTCTCTATCTCCCCCCTTTCTCCCCCCTTTTCCCCCCCTTCCGACTTCCCTTCTTCCCCCCCCTGAATGCCGTGTGGGATGCCACCAGGAGCTCAACTCGCAACGGCCACCCACACCAACAAGGGGCCGCCCGCAACCAGGCAACGACCGCAACTCCCTCGCCTTTATCTAGCCCCCCTCAGCCTGCCAGCCTGTGTCTTGCCCGCACTCTCTCCTGTAGGCTTTTTCCTCTCTCAACCCACTCGCTCTCATGTATGAAGCAAGTTCCTTCCACCCCATGCGTCTATAGTCGTAGCGTGCTTTATGCCTAAAATGCTGAGCTGCGTCAGATTATTAAGCAAAACATGGCTATGCTTTGCCCCTACCCTTCCCAATCCTCTCCCTCCGCCTTCCCTGAACCCTGCATTTTCCCTCCCGCCCACACAGCCACCTTGAAAGCAGCTGACCGTGCCTCCCGACCCTAGCCTCGCTACTGGATTGCGGAACACATTGCTCCTTGATTTGCCTCCTGTAAAATGCTTCATTTATTGCACCAACCTGCTGCTGCCACAGCACAGTGCTTTCGTAGGCTACCGTGTTTGAGCCAAGTGTACTTGCTAGTCCTCTCCCCATTCACCAATTCACTCCCGGTCAACTTGATTAGTGTATAGCCACACCCAGTGAAGGCCTTACTACAGTACCACTCCTTTGTGCTGGGCATTTTCCTTCCCAGTCATCAGCCAACCAATCTCAGCTTTTTGAGTCTGACCTGGGATGGATTCTCCCATATGATACATCAGTTATGATACTGTATCAGTCAGACATAAATTGGAGGATGCACTAATGATGTCACCCACCCACCACCCACCACCCGGCCTGTGAGGGTGGAGAACTTGCACCAACCCCACCACTTTTAACGCCATCCCCTCTACCTGAGGGCAGCCACCAGCCACAGATAAACACTACCTAGGTGGTAAACCCCTTCAACAATATTGTAGGTGGGGCTGAGCTGGTGTGAGCTGGTGTGCTTGGGTTGGGTGTTTTGGGTCCTGCATTCATGCTTACACATTAGACGGTAGACCCCCTTGCAGCTTGCAGATTACCATACACTCTGTCGTGTTGTGCTGCTCGGTACTCTGTTGTAAGGAAAGGATGTTTATATCATATACGTTTACATACATTATTGACCCTATGCCTAGTTTCCTCTACCATGGATAAAAATGCACCATGTAGCAAAGCCATATTCCCACAAAGAGCAAAGGTAAGCTGCTTTCAACATGCTGTAGGAGAGCATGTTGAGATGTGATCGTGGGCCTTCATTGATCAGCCTCAGTCGAGGTCCACCTCTCCCACCAGCTCCTTGTGCTCAAGAGCCGGAGGAGGCATCTGCGACCGCAGCTCCTTCATCTGCTCCTTGTGCAGCAGATAATGCTTCTCTGCATCCTGATTCGTCGACATCAACGCGGTCACCTTAAGCCCCACATCATCCACCTTCTCTAGAATCAAATCGTTGGTGAACATTCCATTTGCCACAAGGCACAGATCCGCCCAGCTCTCGTACAGAGGCAGGAGGATGATAATCGCCGAGCCGATAAAACCCCACACGATGGAAATAACCGCCCAGAAGGTGAAGTAGCCGAGGGAGAAGACACCGGCGGGGAGGGAGAGGATGGGCCAGAGGATGGCTATGGCAATGGTGAAAGCAGAGCCCCAGATGAAGATCCATTTCTTGGCAGAGGAGAGCTTCTGCTGGCTGTACTCCTCTGGGTCCACCTCGGAGTGGCCGTCAGCGTCCACCAGGGCAATGCAGCGTGTGCCCTCAAAGTCGTAGTTGTCAGGCTTGATGAAACTGGCGGAGGGTGGAGGGAGGCAGGGGGAAAGAAGAGGTTGGTATACGAATGGGAGGGAGGTTTCACTGCACTGGGTATGATTTGGGGGTAACATATGAAGCCCTGGTTTGACATGGCAATGAAAGGGTGAGCTCGTGACGTGATTCAGAAGGAGCTGCCCAGGACTTCCTTCGTGCATGTAGTGTGCATAAGAGGCAAATGTGGGGGAAGGTGGGGGAGGGGGAGATGAGGAGGCATACCTGCAGATGGCATGCACGGTGCCACCAGTGATGATGGAGACGAGGTTGCCAGTGAGTGTGGAGGAGTTGGCTCCGGTGCTGTCAAGATCCAGCACTCCGAACTGCACCTTCGCCACCACCAGCCACGAGGTGATGCCTGGAGATTTATAGCACATGCGGCAAAGAGGAAGCAAGACTGGTAAGCACGTATGCAAAGGAAGTGAAATTTTCAGCACTGTAGGAATAGATCACGGTAGTACGAATCTGTAAGTCTAGTGTATGAAAGGTGTAGAGACATTGGGGTTTTCTTGCACACACCTGCAACCATGCCGATGAGGCAGCCAGCAATAGCGCCAAAACCGTTGGCTTTCTTCCAAAGAATCACATTCGCGATAGGAACGACCGCGCTTCCGATAAGCACACCCATCACGAGGTACATCCAGCCGAGGGACACTCCCGCCTGATTGAGCGCAATAGCGAGGACGCCCATAAGGAGGCCGAACGCGAGCACCATGATTCGTGAGCACAGCAGGATCTGCTTGCCGTTCGCCTTGGGGTTGATGTACGTACGGTAGATATCGTACGTCACCAGAGTGGAAACGGCAACAAGCTCGGCAGAACCAGCGGAAGTCACGGCCCTGCGTACGCAAATACACAAAATCCGGTTGATCAAACAATCCGCTTGCAGTGTAGCTGAAGGCAAGTTGAAGTGAATTACAATGTGCGAAAACAAATCAACGAATTTGGAAGCATTAGCTGGGGAAAGAAATTGCGATCGTCATTGACTCACATGAAGAGCATGACGAGAATGAGCACGGCGCCCCAGTTGCCCATCAGCGCGACGGCCGTGGCGGGCGGCACGAGCCCTTGGTTGGCTTCAGCCTGCGTGAGCGGCAAACCGAGCGCGACGGCGCCCAGCCCGAGCGACGTGCCGAGCGAGAAGGGCACGGCGAACCACACGAGCCCGCCCAGCAGATACCCCTTGTGCGTGGACGACGGCTTCGCCGCAATCGCGCTCATCCAGTAACCCTGTCATGAGAGACGCGGCGAAAAAAGGAGAAAATGGTTCAGACGGACATGAGGGGCCCGGATTTTCAAAATGAGATGATCGATACCGAAAACATCGAGGCAGAATTTCGCGCTGCTTACATTGTCGACGAAGACGGTGCCGAAGTTGCCGACGATGTTGATGAGGCCGAAGACGAATCCATTGATAGACATCATGGTAACATATGAGCCCTCCTTGTTGCCCGACACGGGCCCGCAGTGCTGCCCGGGGTGCTGCAGCGAACAGTCGCGCGTGGGGCTCGCGGCGTATGTGAGGTCGTTATAGACGGCGGACGGCGATCCGAGCCACGAGCTTGTGCAGTAAACGAGGAAGACGAAGATGAGGAGGATGATGTGCACGATCACGGAGTGGATGTAACTCGCCAGGAACGTCGCCTGCGGGGAGTAGGATGAGTTTGGAAAAGTACGGATGAGAAAAGGAACGAGCCGATACCGGCTTTTTTCCGGGAAACGAAAATACAAGGGCAGCTCCGAACATCAACTAGTTGATTCGACGCGACGCACCTTGAGGCCGCCGGCGAGGGTGTAGAAGATGACGCCGAGCGGGATGAGGAACGACGCGAGGTATATATTGAGGCCAGTCAACGCGTTGACCACCGCTGACCCGCCGAGCAGCAGCATGGCCGTGACAATCATGTTGGTGAGGAAGCAGAAGCACAGAAACACGATGTGCGCCGCCGTGCCCCACCTGTTCCCGCCGCATCGCGAAGACAAGAACATAAAAGACATCCAAACGAGAAATTTGGTCGGGAATTACTTCATATCGGCGCTTAAAAGGGCATCGACATGACTGTTTGCATTAAATCAAACCATTGTACGCCGCTTTTCACGCATAGTTGTATTTTGCGACCACGGCCACGGCCATTATCTCAGTGTCATCCTACCTGGCCTTGACGATTTCGCAGACAGTATGCGCGTTAGGCGCCTTGCGCTTGATCTCAATGGCGATGATGCCGAACAGCAGCACCTGAATCGTCGCGCCGCTCGCATACCAAAACGGACCGCTCACGCCGTCCTGAAACAACGGAAAACAGGGCGATGTTAGTCACATTGGACCAAATAACGCGGAAGCGATTCATTTTGGTCTCCCGTTAGGTTCGAAGGGTCGCGCGATCCGATTGAAACTTCAAGCGGTTTTCGTGACGGGCCTGCAACGCGACGTCGATTTTTGAGTCGACAAAAAATCGGATTTCGTGACGCACCTGCCATGCGACGTTGGATGATTGCAGAATGGTCGCAGCCCACGTCCACTGCGAGACGATGACGGACGCGATGAGCCCCATCCGCACATTTCGGCCGGCCGTGTTGAACCACTCGGAGCTCTGGCGCGTGCCCACGTAGCGCTGCTCCAGCCACACAAGCCACGACGTGAAGACGGCGAAGAACGCGCCGAAGCCCAGCACGACGGCGTACCCCACGCTTATGTCGAGCGGGGGCTTTCCGCCGAAAAAGGACGACGCCTGCTGACATTGGCCGTTGGAGCCCGTCGAGAAATACTCTGTGAGAAGGAGAAACAGACGAACGATGTGTGATGCGTAGTTCAGCTGCTGCTGGAAAATAATTTTAGGCTGTCATGGTAGCAAAGTGGAAGGAAAAGGATTGGAGTGAATTGGCGCGGGGCGGAGAAAAGCTTGTAACTTCTGTTACAGAAAAAGCAGAGGGATGTGTTGCGAAGATTCTTACGAGGCATGCCGAAGCCCCCTGGGGGACAATTGGGAGGAAGGCCCGACATGATGACTTGCTGCGAACTCGAAGCCGCGAAAATAAGCGCAGTTTGAAAATATCGAGGGTAAGTGTGCTGTGTGAAGAAATGAGATTATCGCCCGGGGTTATGTAGTCCGCGAGTGGACGGGTCACGGGCGGGAGGCTGTGTGAATGATTAGGGCGTGTCTGAAGTGAATTTCGACGTTTGCCGACGAAACTTTCGTCGACGTTCCTTGACGAAACTCGACATCCGTTTTCAGCTGTGTTCACTTCAGACACCCACACGACAAAATAACCCACACGTGCCATAGGAACACTGTTATAAGTTGCCCATGAAAATTCGACGTGGAATT